TTTATGCTTTGCAATTGAAACATTATGTTAAAACATTGCCAAGATAGATAGATAGATAGATAGATAGATAGATAGATAGATAGATAGATAGATAGATAGATAATTACACTAAAACACATTAACATGCTGCCATTCAACCAGATATAAACAGAATATTTTTACAAAAGTATCTAACTGGTTCATTAAAAAAATGAAAACTCTCCCTCGAAGAACAGAAGCCAAACGTCGAAACGACTAGGGCAATTACGTTTTAAAATGTCAGCTAAATGGTAAAAAGCATGAAAAGAGGGTCTTAAAAGTCAAATTTTGATTTACTGTCATTCGGAAACTTACCCAAAAGGCAAGCGGTGGCGAGAACAGACACAATTCCCAAACGCTCCATGATCCAGATTTACTTCAAGCGTCCCACATCTGTTTATCCGTCTGAATTCATCCCGCTAGACGACAGTGTTTGGTAAAACCTTGTTTGCTGGAAACTGTTGAAGATTCCTTCTCTCATTCCCTCTTTCCGAAGGCTCATCAATGTCATATGACGCTAATCATGTGATCAAGTCACATTCCTAAACAGACAGGAACTATTTATTAGCACCTTACTAATTTATCACTATTGTGCAACCTTTTCAATAAACATGAAGGAAACTGAGCAACACCCTGAAGTTAATCGTTATATTTCGAATGGTGACACATTAACCAGCTGAGAACGAGTAAAGGTCCAAACCACACACTTTCTCAACTGGAGATTCATTTGAAGTCCCGCCCAAAGCGGTAAACAGGACTTTAAAGTTACCATGGTAACTGTATTTTACTTTATTTCCTCAAATTTGGAGAAGTACGAAAGTTTCTGTCATTTACAACACAACCAGTTAGTTGTGGTTAGCACGCTGGCATGGTTCACTTAGCAGTCACAGTTGTCGTAAAAGTATAATAAACTTATTTAATAAAATTAATGTACTATATTTAATTTCAGTAATGTTATTTACGTTAAAATGGATAATTTAGCAGACACACTCTTCGAAATCGTATAAGTTAACTTTTATGAAATCAATGTACAATTTTATGAAATCAGTCTTGTTTACATTTATTTATATTAAAATTTCACTAAACAAACCTAGTTAAGGGCCGTTTAGTCATTCATTCATTCCTTAATTCATTCATTCATTCATTCATTTTCTTGGCTTAGTCCCTTTATTAATCAGGGGTCACCACAGCGGAATGAACCGCCAACTTATCCAGCATATGATGCCCTTCCAGCTGCAATCCATCATTGGAAAACACCCAAACACCCATACACTCTCATTCACTCACACTATGGACAGTTTAGCTTACCCAATTAACATAGCACATTGGACTTGTGGGGGAAACCGGAGCACCCAGAGGAAACCCACGCCAACATGGGGAAAACATGCAAACTCCACACAGAAATGCCAACTGGCCCGGCTGAGGCAACAGCACTACCCACGGTGCCACCCTAAGTATCATCTGTCATATATGTATTTTTATATCTAATATCTATTTTATATAATATCTAGTTTTTAAAAAAAAATTCCCAGTTGATCATGGAGCAAATAACATACTTCAAATCCATTTATTTTCGGGCAGATTAAACCAGATTATAACTGAACGTTTTTCCCTAGATTATTATTAATTGACTGAAATTTTGAATTTATGTTTCAGTTTTTACAAAACATTAGTCAGAGAAAACATCCAGCCTCCACCGCTGAGGCTGCAGCTCTGCACAAAACTTTTGGCCAGCGGAGAAAGTAAAATGGTCGTGCCGAACTGAGTCTGGTTCTCTCAAGGTTTTATTCCTCACTCTCCTATTGGTGAAGTTTTTTTCCCTCTCCACTGTCACCATTGACTTGCATGGTTCAGGATCTGTAAAGCTATGCATCGATGAATTTGCTCTTTAGTGTTTGGACTCTCAGTAATGATTTCAAACCACACTGAACTGAGCTAAACTGAACTGAACTACCCTGATCCAGTTACTATGACTATTTATGTGAAGCTGCTTTAACACAATCTACATTGTAAAAGCGCTATACAAATAAGGCTGAATTGAATTTAATTATGTTCCCCATAATCTAATTTAAACATCAACATTTGCGGAACAAAACACAACTGTAAAGCATGCTCATGACCTTGTTCAATTGAGCATGATGATTTTAAAACTTCCTAAAAAATTGCTCAGTATATTTCCTCATTTTCTGTTCCTTTTCCATGGTGGTTGTTTTAGGATGCAAACAATTAAGCGTGACTCTCTCCATTTCTCTTTTTATTTAAATGACCCCAAAAACACCAGAGGGTAAGAAAGAATAAACTCCATGTTTTCAACATATTATATTTATTCTTCAGGATTTAGTGCAAAACATTGACTTAAACATGCCCTGAGTAACACACAAAGATTCCACATCCATACTGTAGAGGTAACAAACAGCAACATTTTTCCAAATCTATACATGACTGATTAATTAATAAACACTGTGTAATGCACATACATACAGTACACAAATAAGGTTACAATACATAGTGTAGCAGCCCTTTACAGTAAACAATCACATAAATAGACATTCAAAACAAGGCTATTACAATATAAAGTAGTGTTAACGGTGATATTAATGATATTCAACACAGCATTTGGTGCATTTAGGCTTCAAATAAGATGACTGGCATAATAAATTAAAAAAAATATCACATATCAATTATCATATATCACTCTTAATTTTTTTTTTAGATGTACAAATAGGTCCATAAATATTTGGACATTGACACAATTCTTACATTTTTGGCTCTATACACCAACAAAATGGATTTGAAAAGAAACTAATTTAATTTAAGGGTATTTGCATCCAAATCAGGTGAATGGTGTTGGAATTACAACAGTTTGCATTTGTGCCTCCCACTTGTTAAGGGTCCAAAGGTTATTGAACAATTGGCTTCTAAGCTTTTGCATGGCCAGGTGTGTGTTATTTTATCGTTATCTCAATTACAATGAGCAAATAAAAGGTCCAGAGTTCATTTCAAGAGTACTATTTGCATTTGGAAAATGTTACTGTCAACTCTCTAGATGAAATCCAAAGAGCTGTCACTATCAGTCAACCACATTAGGCTGAAAAACAAAGCAAACACATCATAGAGACAGCAAAAACATTAGGCGTGGCCAAAACAACTGTTTGGTATACTCTTAAAATGAAAGAATGCACAACACCAAAAGATCTGGAAGACCAAGACAACAACTGTGGGGGACGACTAAAGAATTCCTTCCCTGGTGAAGAAAACACCCTTCACAATATTTGGCAAGATCAAGATCACTCTCCATGAGGCAGGTGTATGAGTGTCAGAGTCAACAATCAAGATAAGACTACACCAGAGTTAATACAGAGGGCTTAGCACAAGACGTAAACCACTAATGGGCCTCAAAACAGGAAGTCCAGATTAGAGTTATAAAATAGCCTTCACAGTGCTGGAACAACATCCTAAAGACAGATGAGATCAAGATCAACTTGTACTAGAATGATGGGAACAGAAGAGTATGGAGAAGGAAAGAACTGCTCATGATCCTAAGCAGTAAAGCATGGTGGTGGTAGTGTCATGGCATGGGTATGTATGGCTGTCTATGGAACTGGTTCTCTTGTATTTACTGATGCAACCAAAAAGTTTTTGAAGGGAAAGAAGTGTGATGTTATGCAATGGCCAAGTCAATCACCTGACCTGAATTTGATTGAGCTTTCATTTTACTTTTCCAAAGACAAAACGGAAGGAAAAATGCCCCAGAAACAAGCAGGAACTGAAGACAGTTGCTGTAGAGGCCTGGCAGAGCACCACCAGGAATGAAACCTAGCGTCTGAGGATGTCTATGCGTTCCAAACTTCAGGCTTTAATTGACTGCAAATGATTTGCAACCAAGTATTAAAAAGTGAAAGTTTGATTTATGATTATTATTCTGTCCAATTACTTTTGGTCCCTTAACAAGTGGGAGGCACATTTGCAAACTTTTGCAATTCATAAAGCGTTGACCTGATTGCTGACAGTCTGCAGTTAAAGCACATCTTGTTTATTTCATTTCAAATCCATTGTGTTGCTGTATACAGACAAAAATGTTAGAATTGTTTCAATGTCCTAAAACTTATGGACCAAACTGTATATGGTTCAGTGAAGAACCCTTAACACCCACAGAACCTTTTAATCACACAAAATGTTCTTTAGAATGATAAAATACTCTTCACATACTAATTTATTAGGAACTGTTTGCTTAAAGGCATTGCTGTGAAGCCCATATTTTAGAACCATTATTATTTCTCTGTCTATCATGGCTTATTAACTCAAAGCTTCTCTGATCAGTGCAGAGAGTCTGTAACTGGCCATTTTTGGAAGTTGGAATTGTGTTTAAAGTACACATGAAATCTAAACTAACCATATTGATTTTGCAAGCACACATTACTAGTTTTGTGGTGAACAATTCATCTGTGCATGTCATAAAAAAAAAAAAAGTTTGCCCTTCTAATCTTGAACTGAAATGTGAAAATGCTCATCCTGTTTGTTTTCAGTTAAATTCTCCCATTAAGTCTGTCTGAGGTATTGGGCGTGGGTAACATACTTAACCATGCCCCTCCATCTGTCAGTTTTGAAAGTGCTTCGACAACAAACAGAAAAGGCGAACAGGAGCAGGTGTCTGTTAGGTTGTAATATCTCTCCTGAAAACAGTTTTGACAATCTCTCTGAATGAAAACTTACCTAACTACATCCAATCAGCTTGAAGGAGAAAAAGAAGCCACGCCCTTATTTTTCTTTAAATATTTCGTTTCTCTTGAAACTGCGTCACATAGGGGTGTTCAGTTCTGGGTTTTTTGGAGCCCACTCCGATTCTTGACTCCTAATTTTCACTTAAAATAGAGAAGAATTTAACATGCTACATATATATATACAATATATATATATATATATATATATATATATATATATATATATATATATATATATATATATATATATATATATATATATATATATATATATATATAATAGTCTAAATATTTTCTTAATATTCTGATACTTGAATTCTGAGTACAGAGTGAACCAAATAATCTGGTGTAGCGGATAGTCACGCAAGGCATGACCCAAATCTGCAGTTGTACATTTCTCTTTATTTTTATTTTTTTTGATGCTCCAACTGATCAATAAACAAAATAGCTAGATTTTCCATTTAATTTAATGACCAATTAAATATTAAACCCTGTACACGAAAATGTATAACTTTATAAATTAACAAACCTAAAACGTTGCTCTCTCTCGTAAATGTGTTATCTATTGCACTTTTAAATAGCCTATTACTTTACTTTTAAATATCACTGTTTCTTTTGTGCAATTTGTTCATTATTGTAATTCAATAAGGGGTAATGGGACGGCATACACCAGAAGAAAAGGAGTGAGTCTGTTTTTGAGCACTTATCCTTGGCTTTATCCTTGGCTATACCCTTGGCTATACCTTTGGATATATATATACTTGGCAAAAAAATGGTTGCAACTTCCAGTTCATGTGGACTTTAATCCAATTTATCTAGCTTCCAATTTAAACAGTTATAATGGGATAAACAAAAAAAGGTTTTAAAAGCCACGTTTAAGGAAATCACACCATAATTTACTCTAGCTGCCTGGCTGACGTGTCTTTTTTACCATCTTTCTTTGGAGGAATCTTCTGGGCAATGCCATAGGGAACATGAGCCGCCACAGTCCCCAGCTCTGCAGCTCCCTCCACGTGGAACATCTGGTCATCAAAGAAGATGTGGGGCCTGATCTTTTCCAGCATGGGGCCTTTAGGGGCTCCTGCCAAGAAGAGGGCCTCGTCTGTCTCTAGACCCCAGGAACGTAACGTCTTGAGGGCCCGGGTGCCAGAACTGGCAGCGCTGCGAGCTGTTACCAAGTAAGTGCGGATGGGACAGTCCAAGCGCTGGCCTTTGGCGTAGAATTTCTGCTGCAGTTTCCCCAGAGCTTCCAGGAAACCCTTCAGTGGCCCCTATAGAGAAAGTGTTATAATAATTCAATACTGACAGAATTATAATATCATTGCTTTCTAGTGACAACATCCTAACTTTGAATTAGCAAACACTGTTTAGAGTAAAAAATGACTAATAAAACTATTTCACTATTTTTTGGCATTTAAAGGCACAATGTGTACATGTTTTTCACTGGAATATAAACCACTAAACCAATGCCTTATATATTTGCTGACTTATGTACTTACATTATACCAAATGTTTTTAAGAATGTTCAAATCCACAGAATTTAAACTAGTGGCATGAATTGAGTGATGTATATCTGTGCTACTGACATCATACACCCTCAATATCTGTTTTTTTTCTTCTTCTAGAAAATAGGGAAAAACTAAAGACGCTTTAATATGTTGTGTAATATGGTAGTTTTTCACTTTGCTAAGGGTTTGTTTGGATCATATTCGTTGTTCTGTTAGTGTAAGTAAATGTCTTGTTGCAGTATTTGCACACAGTTTGTGCTTTGTCTGGCGCACTTCACCGCTGTCTTTTACTCTGCCACCCTAGCTGTTGCTTCTCGCTGCTGATGTGCAGGTAAAGCAAGTTTGCACCTGTAAACACAGCATCCCCTCCTTTCAAAAAATGTATCATGATTCATTCAACATTTTGAATATTCAACAGTACTTGTTTGAATTGTTGCGTATTTGAAACAATTTTTAACCGACTCTTGGTGAATCGTTACATACCTAGATCCCATTTATATTTAGTGTTTTACCATCACAATGTTTATTTTGAGTGGCAAGAAAGCTCATTCACTGTTATTTACGCTGAAAGCGTCGAGAGCATCAAAGTAGCTGGAAGTCATTCATTCTCAATGGGAGCCGGCGGCGAGGAGCAGCGTGGCACATCTTTACTGGTGTGGGCGTCAAGTTAACCAAGTAATCGGATTGTAGACATCCACCGCTTGAGTCATTGTAAACTTTGGTTCCGACCACAGTTGTTCCCAAGAGTTTGATTATTGAGGTCGCCGGATTTCCAATTATTTACAATGTTTTCTTACAGGGACATACATTAAAAAAGTTACTGCCAAGTAACTGATGTGCATTAATGTTCTATTTTTTCTCTTTAAAAAAACAACGAAAGAAAACAATCTTGCTGCTTCAGAATATTTCAGACATATGAACACTTATTGGATAATTAAGAGCTGCACAGCCACACCATATGCAAATTTCATTGTTAATTAATTTTGAAAAATAAGTGTGCAACATTTTCATGCAAGAAAGCATGCTTTATGCAGGAATGTAATTGATATGATATGCTGCAATGGTCCCTTTAAATATGAAATCAATGTAGCTAATTTTGACGCTCTCGCCGCCGGAGCTTATGGCAGAAAGCGTTGTCACCAGGGCAGCCAGAGAAACCTTTGCCTATATGTATATATATATATATATATATATATATATATATATATATATATATATATATATATATATATATATATATATATATATATATATATATATATATATAATTAAATAATAATAATAGTTAAAAGCCTGGGTGCTGGTCCACAGAGGGCTCTTATTTTGAGAGCTACGTCATGAGCTCAGATTTGGTTGACCAATCAAAGGAAAGTTGGCGTTTCAGCACTGCCTACATGTGTATGATGAATTTTAAAGTTGTTTATCCATTTTCTTACCCTAAATTTAAAAAAATGAAAATTGAGCTAAAATCTCGTTTTTTTTTTTCATTTCTTGTGAGCAAATGAAAAACGGAAAAACTGCCTTTTTCTTCATTTTACTTTTTTTGTTCGAAAACGGATATGGATTGGACAGAAGATAACCTGCTTGTTTAGCTTGTCCATTTGCTTATAAGACATTTTTTCAAATGCGGCCATTAGCAAGTTCTACTGCCCATTCTTGGAAGGAAGGGGCCTCCTCTGATTTCCAGCTCCAAAGAATTATTTGTCTGCCAATCAATAAACTGGTTTGGACCCAAAATTTTATGTTTTTATCTTTTATTTCGTTATCTGTCCAACTGCCTAGTATAAACAGTCTAGGACATAGTGAAATGCGAAAAAGTCTAAAACTGAGCAAATGTGTTCATGAACTCTTTTCCAGAAATCCTGAGTTTTAGGGCCATAGAGCATGAACTAAATCACCATTCTCGATCTTACATCTCCAACAATAAGGTGTATTTTTTAACCCGAGCTTAAACAGTCTGAAAGGAGTCCAGTAGAAACGGTGTATAATCTTAAACTGTATAAGGCGTGCTTTAGCATCCCTAGATGCTGTTTTAACATTCTTTAAAATTCCATGCCATTCTTCATCATCAACTTTTAGATTCAGATCTCTCTCCCATATTTTCTTAAGGGCCTGTGAAGTTCCATCACCGAGATTTTGAATCAACCAGGAGTAGTACATGGATACTTCATGACCCTTTCCATATATTGAAAATATCATACAGTGAGCATCTGCTGACACAGGAAGCTGTGTAATAGAATCAAAAGTTATACAGAGTAAATGTCTTAACTGTAAATATCGGAAAAACTGGGATCTAGGTATATTGTGCTGCTGTTGAAAATGTTCAAATGATTTCAAACTACCATTTTCATAAAGATCTCCTAGTTTAACAATGCCCTTCTTTGCTCATTCTTTCCAAAAAAGGAAACTTTATTAATACACAATTTAGGATTAAACCATATGCTTGAGCTATCATTTAAGTAGGGGTCAAAGCTAAACAGACGCAAAATCTTTAGCCATATTATCTTTAAATGTGAAATAATCAGATGAATTTTCACCTTTCCATCCAGTTTAGTGTACAAGCTCTGTAAAAGCGTGATTGGAGGCAAGGCGTACTGCTCTATCTTGTACCAAGGGGGAGCTCACTCTGGGGGAAGTGACCAGTGAGCTAGGTGTCTAAGACTAAAAGCATAATAATAATACAATACATTAGGCAGACCTAGACCACCTTTCTCTACAGGCCTCTGCAACTTATTAGAATGTAATTGAGGTCGCTTACCACTCCAAATAAAATACTTACAAAATCTATCAAACTGTTTAAAACAACAAAGTGGTATTTGTATTGGAAGAGACTGTAATAAATAGATAAGTTTGGGTGTACAATTCATTTTAAATAAATTAACTTTCCCAGCTATTGAAATGGGTAGTGGAGCCCACCTCTCCATATCACAGGAAATTTTTTAATTAAGGGGTCAAAGTTAACTCTAAATCCTTCAAATCAGGGGGAAATAAAATGCCTAAATATCTTATACCTAACTTAGGCCATTAAAAAGTACCAGGGTGAAAAGCTGCTGAAGCGCAAAATGCGATTAGTGCAAGAGCTTCTGTTTTAGGCCAATTCACCCTATAACCTGAACATTTTGAACATGCATCAATTGTTCTAAGGAGACAGGGTTTAGATCTGCTAGGATCAGAAACAAATAATAAAATGTCATCAGCATAATGCATAAGCTTATGTACTTCTCCCCCAGTTACAACCACAGGAAAAGCATTGTCTTTTCTTTTTGAGGCAGCTAATGGTTCCAAAGCAAGACAAAACAGTAATGAAGAAAGAGGGCAGCCTTGTCGAGTTCCTCTGCCCAAAGCAAAATACTCCGAAATTAAACCGTTTGTTTGCACTGCCGCTAGGGGTTGTTTATATAGTAACTTAATCCATCTAATAAAAATATTGCCAAAACCATCAACTTTCAAAATTTTAAAAAGGTACTTCCACTCCACCATGTCAAAAGCCTTCTCAGCATCTAATGAGATGGCTGCAATTGGGGTCTGTTTCTCCATTACTGACCACCAAATGTCAATGAACCATCGGATATTATCAGAAGAATTTTTACCTTTAATGAAGCCTACTTGGTCCACATGTATAGGTGATGGTATAACTTTGTTTAGGCGAGTATAGCAATAATCTTTGAATAACTTTTGTATCTAATTGAATCAATAAAATTGGACGGTAGCTTTTACGGTCCCTTGCATCTTTATCTTTTTTAGTATGAGACTAATGAGAGCTTGCGACATTGTTTTTGGTAGTTCATCCCACCCAAGCACCTCTTTATAGACTTCTAACATTAATGAAGCAAGTTCTGTGATATAATCCTTAAAAACCTCTGCGACAAAACCATCAGGTCCAGGAGCTTTCCCTGCAGGTAATGCTTTGATAACCTCCATCACTTCCTCCTGAGTTATATCTGAATCAAGGAGTTGCTTTTGCTCACTAGATAACATAGGAAGGTCTAGAGGTTCCAGGAATTTATCAATATCCTACTCAGTAGAAGATGATGTGGATTTAAAAAAGGTCTACATCAAATTCTTTAAATATCTAGTTTATATCTGTAGCAGCAGTAAATACATCTCCACTACCAGATCTAAGAGCTGGAATAATAGAATAGCATTCCTCATGCTTAATATAATTGGCTAACAGTTTCCCTGCCTTATCCCCTGACTCAAAATAAGTCTGTCTTGATCTAAATAACAAAAACTCAATCTTCTGTGACAGGATGGTATTATATCTATATTTTTAGTTGCGTTAAATCCCCAAGACCTCTAGATGTCACATGACGTTTCATCTCTGTTTCAGCCCTTTTAATATTACTTTCCAATTCTAAAAGTTCTTTTTCTTTAAGCTTTTTGTAATGACAAGCAAATTGAATTATACATCCTCTAATAACTGCCTTAAGGGCATCCCACGCCACTCCCACACTGTGAAAAATGATATCCAGCCACAGTAAACATGGCTCATTTAAACAAACAGATTTCACTTAAAAAGTTTAGTTTTGGACATTGCTTAATTTTAAACTACAAATGTTACATAAAATATTGATTTCAGTGTTTACTTTATTTAATAAAGAAAAACAACTAGCAATTTTTAGTAAAGTTAGCAATAATTTGAGGTTTAGTCAATTGAACCCAATATTTTAGGATCATCAGATTATCATGTGACGCTGTACCACAGTGCGCAATTTGAGGAGTCCATTTTGGAAAATCAGCTCGGGAGAAGGCTGTTCATCTTTTGGTAAGTTATTGCAAATGTTAGATGATATTCCTTATGCCTGCTTATAAATAATGCATGTCTAAATGTTTGGATGGCAATTTACAGTATAACGCATGGACGCTTTTAATAAATGACCATGCTTGACTCAACACTAGTGTTAACCCTGATCCACACAGGAGTGTTTGAAGCCAGGTCTGTCAGCTGATCTATTATATATCTGCTCCAGTTTGTATCTGTTAAGGTGCTTTTTACTGAGCTTTAAATGATTATCATTGTGGCCAAACACTGTTGAGCATGTGAACATGGTGGGAAATGCTGGTGTACTCTCATTGTAAAAATTTCAGTATAGCCTGACTTTTGAAAACTTAAAAGTTTTATTGTATTGTTTTGTTTGTTTTTGTGTAGTTTTTTCGATTTAATTAATAATGAAAGTATATTTATAAGTAAAATATGAGTGAAATTTGTTAATTTCCTCTTTTTTTTAAGATCAAAGAATTCACGGCTGCTGATGTAGACTCTACCTTCATTGAAAATTTGGACAATTACACAGAACAGCTCATCCATTAATTTCACAAAAAGCGGGGAAGTGCAGGATGCAAAATCTGTGATGTGATGAAATTGCTGGAACAGGTATTGTTTACTGAAAATTCTGCTTGCCTGTTTTAGCATTTAAATTTTAGATGTTCATTGTGTCTACCATGTAATGCATTTTAAAATATTACAATTTATTTATATATTTTTTTCTATTTGCACTCATAGTGTGGAAATTCTCTGGGAGGTGGTGATATGCTGTCTGACTGTGTACCTGTCTGAGAACCTCGAGAAGCTGATTACATATTACCTGGTTAGTGAATGTAGTTCATTTAGTTCACTTTCAAATGAATTTTGTAGAAAGTTTTAATTGCAAACCTGAAAATACAATTAAGCATGTAAAATGTCAATTTAGAAAGAGAAACTTTTTTATATTTGAGTGATTTTAGTCATCTTAACAAAAAATGTTCAACAAAAAATGAAAAGTTCCTGTTTTTTAAATCACCCCAGCCAGTCGAAGATGTGGGTAACTTTTTTTCTTCTCTAGTAGAACAGTAAAGAAAATTGGAACTGAAGCACCTGTGGTCTTTGATAAAATGCTAGTTAGCAGATGAAATTTAGTCAACAAAGACCACAGTTTAAGTTCATTTTCTTTACTGTTCTACTGAAGAAAAGTTCTGACTTTCAGGTTCTGATTGTCTTTTTCAGTTTCTTACTTTCCCCCCTTTTTTACTTGGCTGTGCCTTTTTATTTTTTTTTGAACAGATGCATATTATACATTTTGTTTTATTGTTTTGTTTCAGGACATTGTGTGGAAACGGACCAGCTGGACATTGGAGAGCACATACCAAAAACTGTGACCATACACACACATACACTACGGACAATTTAGCCTACCCAATTTACCTGTACCGCATGTCTTTGGACTTGTGGGGGAAACCGGAGCACCCAGAGGAAACCCAAATCAACACGAGAACATGCAAACTCCACACAGAAACACCAACTGACCCAGCCGAGGCTCGAACCAGTGACCTTCTTGCTGTGAGACAATTGTTCTGAGTGTTTGATAAGCACAGCTTTGAACACTACTTTTAAGAATACTCTTGAAACAGTTTTTGAACTTGTTTCTATTAAAGCAGTACATTTGTAAAGACATTTGCATTTTTTGAACACCTAAAAATGTTTCAGGAAATGTTTTAAGATGCATTTGTCTAATAAAGAAGTTCTTTACTTTAATCCTTTTATCTGTGTTTTTTCCACCCTTTGTAATGTATAGCTAATTGTAAGTTAACTGATAAATGACTTAGTATTTTAAAGTTGAAGAACTAAACATTTTCAGTTAAATTAGCTTAAGATTTTATAATTGGGTAAACAGAACTTTAATGGTAGAAATAGCTTAAATTTGTAAACAAAAACTGCTTAAAATATTAAGTTACACTAACCAATAAATTTAAGCAAAACCATTTGCTAGAATACTTAAAAAATTAAGCATCACCAACTAAAGATTTTTAGGTAATATTTCCTTATCCACATTAAATTTAATGTGAAAATTGCTTAAAAAGAGGGATGCAAAAATGATGCACTATATTCTTAAGTAAATCTAGCATATACATTTTTTTTTTGTGTAGGATATTGCCAATATTGCATGTGATAACAGTATGGATAAGTGTTTTTGATAAAAGGAAAAGATCAATTCCAGAAAATATTTTGTATGCATTTGGAATAAAAGGTTTAATCCCTCCCTTGTGGATTCAAAAGTCTCCTTATGTCTGTGAGGTCTAAATATTGACACATCCTAAGTAAAATTAATCTTGCCTTAGGTGTAGTATACACTTTTGAGCTACTATGATCAAGAGATGGGTCCATTAATAAATTAAAGTCTCCACCCAACACAATCTCATAATGATTTCCAGCAGCTTGCAATTTTGATTCTAAATCTATGAAAAAATTGTGATCATCAAGATTGGGGTCATATACATTAGCCAACAGCAGATTTTGACCTGTATTTTAGCCCAGACCAAAATAACTCTTCCTAATGTATCTTTTACTTGTTTTACAAATCTAAATTGTATGTGTTTTTTTTTTTTACTAAAATTATTACTCCCCTACAGCTACTAGATCCTTCACTACAAAATATGTAACCGCAGACTGACTTGGCAAGTTTTTCAGCTTCCTGGTTGGAGAGATGTGTCTCTTGAAGAAACATTATTTCAAATCTATGTAAGTCTATGTATAATCTATCTATTTAAGTGAAGACACCACCTTCTTCCTTTTAATAGGGTGCCCCAACCCATTCACATTCCAAGTACAGAAAGATAATTGACCTAAATCAAAAAGTGACATTCTTCATAACACAATCAAATGTAGCCAGGCCCATTTTTTCTGAATCAAATTTAAGGTGTTCTGCAACACTTCTGCTACTCCAAAAAATCATGTCCAATGAAAATCAATAAGCTCTCCTCACATAAACCTATGCGAAATTAAAATATCACATTTTCGACATGTGGGAGGCCGAAGAAAAGGCAATTTCAGAGTTTACGGCATTTTTTCAATGAAAGCCATAGCCTGTCGCGGGCACGAGAAAGTCTTACGACCATCCTTTACTTCAATTCTCAGTTTAGCAGGGTAAAGAAGAGCAAAGCTCACTTTCTTCTTGTGAAGAATGTCTTAAAACGTTGTCTCTTCTGCTGTGATCTTGCAAAATCCGGGAAAACCATGACATTGTTGTTGTCCCAGTTCAAATTGCCTTTAATCCTCGCTGCACGTGAGACAAAGTCCCTGTCAGCAGAGCAAAGAAATCTTGCCAATATTGGCCGGGGTATATCAGACGAGTTGGGACATTGACTGGGAGATCGATGTGCACGCTCTAACTCCAGTTGCCGGCCCAGCGGATCGATCAGATTCGGGATAAGGCCGTCCAGAAACCTCACCATTTCCTAGCCCTCTTTGCCTTCAGGTATTCCGACGATACGGATATTGTTGCGTCTGCTCCGATTTTTCATGTCTTCCACTTTATCCCATAACCAGTCCAGCTCTACCTTTGTAGCAGGTGGATTGGCTTTTAGCTCCTTCTCGGCCCCTTCCAAAAACTCCACTTGTTTTTCAATCTCATCTAACCTTGTAATAATGGCGGATAGTTTAGCCTCCACTGTTTTCCGTATCTTCGCAATTCCGTCCATATCACTTGATATTTTTATGAGAATCGTATAAATGTTGGCAATGTCCTGGCTTCCATCAAGAGGCTCGGTGACGGGATCGGGGTAAGTTAGGCCACGGCCATCTTGATCCCGAGAAGTGTTGGTCGTGTATGAGCGCAAATGCTTTTTTATATCCCCACAGCCTGTGGACTTCAAATTCTTTGACATGATCTCGTTCAAATATCACTTAGATGTCCGAATAGCTGCAATTTTCACTAGTACAAGATAGTTAACAGGATAAAAGTAGCAAATTGAAGCGGAGCTCGCTATCAAGCTGCCTCCTCTCGCATCGTGTCACATGAATTGAAAAACATTTTTAATCTATGAAAATGTGCAATGATTTCAGTCATGTGAGAAGGAATTTGCGATAAGCATTTTAAACTGTAGGTGGGTGCAGAGCTGAATTTTGTGACCTTGCTATATTGGCACAAACAATAGTAAACATAGTAGCAGCAAAAAAGCAGAGTGGTGCAATGATATTCTAACAATTTAAGATGAGATAGTGTTTAATGCAGGCATCAAGGAGCAATTGCTTCTGAATGTGTGCTTGCTTTTTTACTTTAGCAAATTTTCGGTCACTTTGTGTGTAGTGAGCAATCGTATGAAGCACATATTTTAGATTCGTTATTAAATATTTTGTGTTCCTATTTAAATGCAACAACAGTGGCCAAACGTTTTAAACATAGCCTTAAAGGAATAAGTCATCCAAAAATCATTTACTCACTCAGGTGCTTCTAAACTTAAATTTCGTACTTGAAATTGAACATACATGATCCAGAGGTTTATTTTCATGGGCTTTCTCATGTTCGAAGAACTTGTCCAGTCCATGAGCTTTGTAGATTCTCTCTGACTCGTCTGAAAAGAGGACGGCATCTCCATCGAAGGCCACACGCAGCTGGGTCTCCGGCACCTCTGTGATTTTCCCAGGTGAAAACACTGTAGCTGCTGCAATTCCTGACAAGTATTCCACAAGGAACAGTATTAGTGTATTTATATATTATTCCCTTAATTAATTCCCAAAAGCACTCCAGCTCACCTGCTTCGATGGCTTCTCTGACTTTCAGCGAGTCAGCTGACAGATAAAGGTTGGTGTGGTAAGCTTTCAGATAACCAATAGGACTGTTGCCTCCAGTCATACAAAAGCGTTCTAAAAAAAGCTCTATAACAGGAAAACAGACAAAACAAGACATCATTTGTGCTTCCCCATAATTGCATAGAAATGACTACTTACAAACAAGGAATGCTCACCACAATCGATTTATAAGAAACAATGAGCTCAGTTAGTCAATTATGGAAGCATAGTTGCACTTAAAAGATTTTATTAAGGCTCAGCCACTTTTCCAGTAGTGCAGTATTTTCCTATTTTTCTCACAGGGATATTAAAGTCTTCGTTAAAGTGTTAGAAAACATGAACCAAACCAACCATTAAAACTTGGATTTGAAAATAGAACTGTGTACACCAGGGGTGACCAACCCTGCTCCTGGAGATCCATTGTGCTGCTGATTTCAGTTGCAACCCATATCAAACACACCTGCCTGTAATTATCCAGTGCTGTTCAGGTCCTGATTAATTGGTTCAGGTGTGTGTGTGATCAGGGTTGGAGCTGAACTCTGCAGAAAGGTAGGGTTGTTGTTAGATCAGATACGGTTTTGGACTGAAATTAACAAGAAATATTTATAATATTTATTACATTTCCCATTTAATATATATTATAATAACCTTTACCAAGAGGTGGTGCAATACGGCAAAAATGCAATATTGATAATTATTTTCCATATTGAACGAGAAGGATATCAATTTCGATTTAAGTTGTTCATTAAATGGCATAACATATTTTCAACCTGTATCTAATACTAACACACTTTAGATTGTTATTTTTGCACATTTCTGCTGTGTAATTGGCTCTTTAATCAATATAGAGTAAAAAAAAAATCCAGAGCTTATTATTATTATTGAGGTAAATTTTATCGCGATTCAAAATAATGTCGTTTATCGGCCCAGCCTTATGTATACCCCTACCTGTACGGAGTATTATTCATGCTATTTATTAAATTACCCAATATATTGTATGTTATTAATGCCCACGCCCACCCTAAACCCAACAAATGTATTCATTGAAATGTAAATCTAAAAATATTAATTATTGTTATACAGTGTTACAAAAATAATGCAATATTGATGTGTGTATGCGCAGCTGTATCCTATCTAGACTTTACCGGAAGGTAGATCTCCAGGAGCAGGGTTGAGAACCCCTGGTGTACATAAATATATCTTTATTATGAAAATAAAAACTACAATTCAGTGAAGCATTGCAAATGGCAGTCAAATATAAAAGTATTAAATTAAAGTTCCAGTTAGTGTCTACTTTTTAAATTGCAAGATATGAATGTACAGCGCTCAATATAAATTAACCCCTTTTTAAAATATGTTTTATCCATATCTTTGTTAATACAGACAATCATGTTTTATTAAACAGTTATATCCATTTAAATAATGGCTTGGTCACCTAATATTTTTAGAAATAGAAAGGCCAATATTTAAATTCAGATAAGTTATTTCTTGTAGGTATTTTCTAACAAAAACAAACAAACAATACTAGACTACAAAATTTTACCAAATTTTCCATTTTATATGTTTATTTGTTTCTGTTTACAACAGATTTATTTTATTTTTTTCCAACATTAATTTGGTTGAACTATTCTTTGGATTGTGATCTTAAGTTGTTTTGTTAGATTATTTCTTGCTTTCGTAATGACTAATCTATTGTATATGCACACATAGACTCACCGGCCACTTTGTCCAACTACTCATTAATGCAAATTTCTTATTAGCCAATCACATGGCAGCAACTCAATGCATTTAGGCATGTAGACATGGTCAAGATAAATTGCTGCAGTACAAACTGAGCATTAGAATATAAAAGAAAGGTAATTTAAGTGACTTTGAATGTGGCATGGTTGTTGGTGCCAGACGGGCTGGTCTGAGTATTTCAGAAACTGCTGATCTACTGTGATTTTCATGCACAACCATCTCTAGGCTTTACAGAGAATGGTTTGAAAAGAGAAAATATTCAGTGAGTTCAAATGCCTTGTTGATGCCAGAACTCAGAGGAGAATGGCCAGGCTGGTTCCAGCTGCTAGAATGGCAACAGTAATTCAAATAACCACTCGTTACACCCGAGGTATGCAGAAGAGCATCTCTGAACACACAACATGTCCAAACTTGAGGCAGATGGGCTACAGCAGGAGAAGATAACACCAGGTGCCACTCTTGTCAGCTAAGAACAGGAAACCCAGGCTTTAATTCGCAAAGGCTCACTAAAAATTGGACAACGGAAGATTGGAAAAACGTTGCCTGGTCTGATGAGTCTCGATTTCTGCTACAACATTTGGATGGTAGGGTCAGAATTTGGTATCAACAACATGAAAGCATGGATCCATCCTGCCTTGTATCAATGGTTCAGGCTGGTGGTGTTGGTGTAATGGTGTGGGGGATATTTTCTTGGCACACTTTGGACCCATTAGTACCAATTGAGCATAGTGTCAAAGCCACAGCCTACCTGAGTACTGATGCTGACCATGTCCATCTCTTTATGACCACAGTGTACCCATCGCCTGATGGCCACTTCCAGCAGGATAACCCGCCATGTCATAAAGCACGAATCATCTCTGGTTTCTTGAACATGACAATGAGTTCACTGTAGTCAAATGGTCTCCACAATCATAATCTTGTTTTTCCTCTTGACATAAGATTATTTTGCTTACCCCATTGGCAGGTTATTTTGCTTGTTTTTAGTAAAAACTCACTTAATTTTGACATATTATTCCTGAAAACAAGACCATATGTTTTGCTTGTGTAGAAAATTATTCTTGATTAAAGAATTTTTAGATATTTGGACTAGAAACAAGACAAGAAATCTAAGTAAGAAAATCATTTTTTGCAGTGAAGTTGTAGCCCTAAAAGAACTGACTGGCTAATCCTAAAGTAAAATGAGCAGCAATTGTCCAGTCTAGATGAGATAAATCATGTACAACAATATTTTTAATATCAAAAATGGTCTACCATTGACTTGCATTATACAAGTCACCAAGAACCACACATTCAGCCAAAAAACACTGAAGTGCTCCACTGAAGAAAAAAAAAACAAGATCTTCAGTGGCCTAAGAAAAGAACAAATTAACAGCAAATGTTCCTTTTTGGTGGAACTATCCCTGTAAACTCATTAGATGATCACCAAACGTTTTAAAGTGACTCATTATTTGCGTTAAGTAAATGTGCAATAAAAACGTCTTTCGACTTACGGTGATGGTTGATTGAATTTATGAGTCTGAGTCCTACGTGTGCATGATTGCTGGTCATCAGAACCACATCAAAGAGCTCTTCGCTGTCTGGATAAAGCTCTCGGAGTCGAGTGTTCACTGCCTCCACTGCCTGCACAACACACACCAATAACACGTCCATCATTACCTCTTCAGAACTTGAGCAGAACTATAATTAAAATAATGACAGACATAAAGAGTTTTGTTCATTAAGAGCGTATCATTTAAACCAAGCTGAGTTTCTTCCCCTTTAGAGTTTTTAGATTGTTAATGTAGCATTATTAAACACTAATGTTTATCAACATCGGGATTCACCTTGATGAAGGGGAAAGCAGGTCCAGGTGCGAATGGTTCCATCTCGTGTTGAATCTGATAGTTGAGGTAGTCCTCCATTCCCTGCTGCTCATAAATGTCCTGCTCCAGATCCATGTTGAAGAGCGCACGAGAGGACACGGCGATGGTGATGGCATTCTGAGGCTTGGGCTGAAAAAAACAAAACAACATATATCATACTAATTAATAAAAAATATCTAAAAATGTATATTTAAAAAACGTATGTGTAATATTTTTATAGGCAGCGATAATAAATAGACTAACAGACAGGATAAATAGCCTGACAAAGAGGATAGCTAGATAGACTGACAGACAGATGGATGGATCGATGGATAGATGGATAGATAGATAGATATTTAAAATGACACAACTGCGCTAATGACACTCAATGACAGTTGTCAAAAGCATTCATAAAATCTCATTAATATTCATGAAGTCATGTCGTCAACTCGTCATGACGATTATAAAGGTGTTGTGACATTCTAAACACCTACTTTAAGTGTTACCCAAACAAATGAATGCCTATGAATTTTAAAATATATAATTTTATACAGATACAATAATAGAAATATAAAAATATTGACAGACAGACATACAGACAGTTAGCTAAAGACACTTAATGACACTTAATTATCAAAAGCATTGATTAAATCTCATTAATATTTATGACATTGCTTACGACATTCTAACACCTACTTTGAGTAAACTGTTACCCAAACAAATTTTCAATAATTTATACATTTTCAATTATATTATTTTATACAGATTCAATCACAGAGATATCAAAATGTTACCAATCAGAAAGACAGAATTTAAAATGACAATTGAGCTAATGACACTTAATGACAGTTGTCATGATAATGCATAAATTCTCATTCATGTCCCATGTCATGATTACAAAAGTGTCAGGATGGTCTTTTGAACACCTAATTTAGTGTTACCCCTAGGAATTAATGTCTATCAATTTTGAAATATATTATAGGCAGATACACTGACAAAGATATCAAAATTTAAGATTGTCAGATAGATAGATGGATGGATGGATGGATGAATAGAACGACAGACAGACAGACAGACAGATAGATGTAATGACATAGTACAGTGGTTCTCAAACTTTTTTCATCAAGTACCACCTCAGAAACAATTTGTCTCTCCAAGTACCACTAAAATGTGCAGTATTGAAATACAGTAGTGTAGGCCCAGTAAAGCAGCTACAACTCTGCACTGTTAAAAAAAATGTGGCACATTACCTCAGAAATATAGGCTATATGTCATATATGGCACATTATATACATAGTTTTTGGTAAATTTTAAAATGTGTGTAGCATGTACTTTACATATTTCATTTCTCCGCGTACCACTAGAAGGAAGCCTGCGTACCACTGACATAGTAAATACAATGTAACAACAGTGATTGCACATGAGAAGTTTGTAATTACATATTACATCTCAGATGTAATTACAATGTCATTACATTCAAAATAAAAATAAAATAAATACATTCTGCGAATATTTACACGTGTATTTACTTTATACTTACTATATTTATTTGTGTATATTAAAATACATATTATACAAATTCACAATTAGAGTACTTGAAATATACAAAGAAACAGTTAGAAATGTTATCTTCGACATATTTACAATGTAATCACAATGTTATAACCATGTAATAACAATGTAGTTACAATGTTGTTATATCCAAAATTAAAGTTTGTAATGTATGGCGTATTTTTATGTATAAATACAAATACTGTACCTGAAATATACAAAGAAATACTTAATATTTAAAAAATATTGTACATGCAATGTACAAAGACACATTTACATTCATAAACATTATCTTGGATAAGTAAAATGTAATTACAATAAAATGACATATTAATTACAAATTAACAATACAGTAATTACATCCAAAAATAGGTTTGCAATTACACATTACAATATTAAAAAAAAAATGCTATTACAATGTTAGAACACTGTAATTACAATGTCATTACATCCAAAATAAAGATTGTAATTACGAATGTACTGAATATATGTATGCATAAATACACAAATACAGTACTTGAAATATGCAAAGAAATTTAAGTTTATAAATATCTTGGATGTATATACAATGTAAAAGCAATATATTTATAATGGAATGGCATAGTAATAAAGTTTGTATTTACATGTGTACTGTGTATATTTACAAATACAACTATAACCAAATATTTTACACGCAATATACATAGAAACATTTACATTTATAAATATTACCTTGGATGTGGCTAAAATTTAATTAAATAAAATGACATAGCAATTACAATGTAACAGTAATTACACTCAAAATAAGTTTGTGATTACATATGTACTGCGTATATTTATGTACATATACACAAATACTGTACATGAAATATACAAAGAAACATATAGTACAATGTTATGACAATGTATTTGCAATGTCTTTACAGTATATATATATATATATATATATATATATATATATATATATATATATATATATATATATATATATACACACACACACACACACACACACACACACACAAATACAGTACTTGAAATATGCAAAGAAACATTTAAGTTTACAAATATTATCTTGGATGTAATTACAATGTTATAGGATTGTAACTACAATGTTATAAGACTGTAATTACAATCTTGTTATGTTGTAATTACATCCATAATAAGTGTTAGTAATTACATAAGTACTGTGTATATTTACGTATAAATACACAAATACTGTACATGAAACACACAAATATTTAAATTTATAAATATTATCTTGGATGTCATTACAATGCAATGACACAGTACTTACATACAAGATAAAAATGTGTAATTACATATTACATGTGTGCTGTGTATATGTGTATAACTATAATACACAAATACTGTACATGAAATTTACAAAAACACATTTACAATACTATCATAGATGTATTTAAAATGTTATAACATTGTAATTACATTGTTTTTAACACAGTAATTACATTCAAAATAAAGGTTTGTAATTACATATGCACTGCATAAATTTACGCATAAATACACATACTGTACATGAAGTTTACAAAGAAACTATCGTTTTTGAATATTATATTGGATGTACAATGTAATATCAATATAATTACAATGTAATGACATAATAAAGTTTGCATTTACATGTGTACTGTGTATATTTATATACGAAGCTATAGATAATTAAATATTGTACATGCAATATACAAAGAAAAATTTACATTTATAAACATTATCTTGGATATGACTAAAATGTAATTATGATACAACTGACATATAAATTACAATTTAACGACTAAAGACATACAAAATTAAAGTTTGCAATTACGTATTACAATGTTATTACAATGTTAGAATGATGTAATTACAATGTTGGAACAATGTAATTAAATCCAAAATAGAGTGTGTAATTACATATGTACTGTGTATATGTAAGTATAACTACGGTACACAAATACAGTACTTGATATATGCAAAGAAATTTACATTTATAAATATAATCTTGGATGTAACTACAATGTAATAGCAATATAATTACAATGTAATAAAGTTTGTATTCACATGTGTACTGTGTATATTTACATATACAACTACAAATATTGTACATGCAATATAGAAAGAAACATTTACATTCATTAATATTACCTTTGATGAACCTAAAATGTCATTAAATACATCAATGATAATCAATATTTTTATAGTAAATATATAAAACATTGTAACAATGTTTTTACATAGTAATTATAATGTAGTGACACAGTAATTACATCCAAAATAAAAGTTTGTAATTACATATGAACTGCATATATTTACGTATAAATACACATACTGTACATGAAATATCCAAACAAGTTTTTGATTATTATATTGGGTGTAATTACAATGTAATGACATAGTAATAAAGCTTGTATTTACATGTGTATTGTGTATATATATATGTACACAACTATTGATACACAACTATTGACCAAATATTGTACATGGATTTTACAAAAAAAAAAAAAAACTATCTTGGATGTGATCTATCAATGCAATGACATAGTAATTACAATGTAACGACATAGAGTAGTAATTACATTAAAGATAAGTTTGCAATTACAAATCACAATGTTGTAACAATGTAATTACAATGCTAATACATAGTAATTACATCCAAAATAAAAGTTTATAATTACATGACCTGCGCATATTTGTGTATATAAACATGAATAGAGTACATAAAATATACAAAGAAGCATTAGTTTGTAAATGTTATATGGGATGTAATTACAATGAAATAGCAATGTAATTACAATGTAACGGCACAGTAATTACATATAGGATAAAAGTTTGTAACATTAGATGTGTACTGTGTAAATTTAAGTATAAATCATAAATACAAACTGTACATTAAATATACAAAGAACCACATTGATAAACTTTATCTGGGATGTATCCAAAATGTAATAGCGATGTAATGACATTCAAGATAATAGTTTGTAATTACATGTGTATTGAGTATATTTTCGTAAATAACTATAAGATATAATATACATTATATACATTTATACGTTTATAATTTTTTTTGGATGTAACTACAGTATATTTGCAGTATAACTAGTATGTAATTTCATTGTAAGGGAACAGTAACTACACACATGTACAAACATGTTTCTAAATCAAGATTAAAGTTTGTGATTACATATTACATACAAGTGTACTGTGCATATTCATGTATATAACTATAAATACACACTGTACATGAAAATATACAAACATGTTTGTAAATCTTGGATGTAATTACAATGTAACGACATAGTAAATACATCCTAGGTAAAAGTTTGTAATTACATATTACATGTGTACTGTATATATGTGTTTAACTGTAATACACAAATTCTGTGCATGAAATATACAAAAACACATTTACAATACTATCATAGATGAAATTACAATGTTATTTCGTAGTAATTATAAGGTAATGACAGTAATTACATCCAAAATAAAGGTTTTTGATTACATATGTACTGCAAATATATATATATATATATATATATATATATATACACACACACATACATAAATACTGTACATGCAATATACAAAGAAACATTTAAGATTCTAAATATTATATTTAATGTGATTACAATGTAATAGCAAAGTTATATTATAATGTCATTATAATGACATCGAATTTAAGTTTGTAATTACATGTACTGTGTATATTTACGTATAAATATACAATAAACAACCAAATACTGTACATGCAATATACAAAAAAACCATTTACATTTATAAATATTATTTTGACTGTGACTACAAAGTAATAAGGCAATGACGAAGTAATTACAATGTAACGATGCAATAATTGCACACCTGATAAAAGTTTATAATTACATATTACATCTCAGATGTAGATACAATGTTATAACAATGTAATCACAATGCCATAGCATCCAAAATAAAAGTTGGTAATTACAGTTCAAAAGCATTCATAAAATCTCATTAATATTCATGATGTCGTGTCCTCAACTCGTTACAATGTATATAAAGCTGTTACTACATTCTTATGAACACATTTAAGTGTTACCCATACAAAATAATCTAAATTTTCAAACATATAGTCTTACTATTGCAGAAATATCCAAATTTTGACAAATAGATTTTAAAATGACAACTGAGCAAATGACACTTAAAGACAGTTTCATAATGATGCATAAATTCTTATTAATATTCGTGTCCCACGTCATGATTACAAAGATGTCAAGACAGTCTTAAGAACAACTAGGCTACTTTAGAGTTACCCTTAGGAATTAATGTCTATCAATTTTGAAATATATTATAGACAGCTACAATGACAAAGATATCAAAATGTTAGAAAGAAAGAAAGAAAGAAAGAAAGAACTTTTTAATCGCTACGTAATAAACGTAGTTGCTACAGGAATCAGCACGTACAGTAAGCTTAAGCAACTGGTCACTACGCGCTTTAATGAATATACACCACAGTTCCTACCAAATTCTCCTTTCCGATTTTAGCCTGCATAATTCTTCTCTCCCACAAGCTGCTTGTCGATTTGTTTCCTAATAAAGGGTGTAAGATAAGCCTTTTCCCTCCCACTTGACCGTGTTTATTTTCCGGCGGCATCACTGCAGCAAACGCGGTCACGGTCACGACATCAAGCCCGCGCGTCTGTTTCGTGTCTGCAGGAGCCTCGAGTATTTTTAGACGCTTTATCGAGCTCATTGCGACCCTTTGTGATGTTTTCCCGGTAGGTACCGTACTCTATACTGATCAGACATTTGACTGGAAACTCGTTCAGACTCACCGGTTTAGGCTTCTTGCTGGGGCTTGACTGGTTACAGGTCTCCTTCTCCCAGAAAGTGTGCATCTCTTTCGGCAGAGCTGTATTCATGTTCATCATAAACAGCTGATGGTCATAGAGGAGTTCTGCTCTGTATGACCTACACACACACACTCTCTCTCACACACACACAGACACACGCAGAGCAGTCACATCCCTGGAGCAAAGCAATCAGATGAGCAGAGTCTGCTAGAGATGAAACTGAAGCTCTTGCTCACCATCACTCCCCCATCATCTGCTGCTCCAGGGGACCAGTGATGGAGGGGGGCTTCTCATACATCAGTTGGATGGGTGCTGCGAGGAGATGTGTTTTTTGTTTACTATTAGTATGATGTGGGCTGGCACTACTCAGAAATGTTGCCATAACAACCGCAGGTTCTGAGATGCATCAAAAAGATGCACTTGAAAGTGAGCAGGGGAAACACTGCACTATTAGCACTAATGCACAAGAGTCCTTGGAAGGACTCAAAGATGTAATGCACTGAGTATTGATTATCCCCACACGCTGTAAACAAATGCAGATGTTTCACACAATTCATGTGTGTTGTCCCAACACATATTGATTAAGCTAACTTAACAAATTGAATTGGATTGAACATAAAACAATTAAGTTGTGCCCAAAAAACGTAATAATTGTGTTGTTTCAATTCATTTTAAATTAGTTTAAACTAGCATGAAATTTATTTTTTTGTTTGGAGTGCAAAATTGTTAGAAATGTTACTCACTATATATATCGTCTTAACACAGATATGGGTAAATATGTACTGTTTGTTTATTGTTATTTGATTGAGTTTTAGTTATACTTGCAGAGGTTTAAAGCAAGTTAGATGTTCAATAGGACACGTCTGATCATTCAATGATATTGATTATGTCAAGCCTTTTTTGTTGAGCTGGCTTTGACCTTTTTCTGTCGAAAGGTGAAAAACTCTAGTATTTTTTCTGGTCATTTTAGCCTGGAGGTTCTTCAAGTTTATTAAAGTGTCAGGACGTTTCTCTTGGTAGCTGACAAATGATTTTATTACACACAGTATTCACCTCAATGTTCTTGGTAAAACACATTAAAACACATTGTTCAGGGGGTTATATTACATCAAAACTCTTATGCTTTTGTCCTTAAAACACATTTCTTTTGCTAGTTTCTCATTCATCACATCTCAAACCTCTGGTATAAGTGTTAAAATGTAATTTTAAAACTGGAGGCTTCAGCCATTGATGAGAGAGATTATAGTGTGTGTATTTATTTTTATTTATTATAAATATGTTTGCCTGCAAGTGCATTTTCTTAACGCTAATTACTATTTTCCATTTTATTTCATGTTATTTTCGAGAGGGGTCTGGATGCAGACCTGGTACAGTGCATTTTGGGCTTCATCGAATGCTTTTTAATAGGCTCACTTAATCCCACCTCTCATCGTGACGCCACTAGCTCCATTTGAGTGCATTGTATCTGACATTGCATCGGTCAGTGATGCAATCTCAGCTTGCATCATAAAGGTTGCATCCAGATACTACTGTTATTTTTTGTATACAAAAGCATAAAATGTAAAATTTGTTTTGCAAGCGGGTCAGATGCTTGTTTTGTAGTGTCTTCCTAATAAAAAAAATGAAAATCCCCTAAAGCACAATATATAAATAAATAAAAAATGAAATCTAAATAATGCTGAAATCGCCTTTAAAATAGTCTAAATTATGCTCTTGGCAAAAAATATAACTCTTAGGAACGCATCTATTTTGCAAGATGTAAGATATGCCTTGGGTGTCTCCAGAATGTGTCCGTAAAGTTTCAGCTCAAAACAGCCTTCAGATTATACATTATAGCCTTCAGAATCAGCCCCTTTTAGTGACTGTAGCTGTTTTTGTAGCCTGTTGCTTTAAATGCAAATGAGCTGCTTCTCCCTGTCCACCGTTCCCACATGCATGTATGCTTCTCCTGCATTACATCAGATAAACAGCTGTCAGTGATAGAGACAGACATGGATGAAGCTGGAATACAGCTTAATAGTTAAAAATACCAAGTAAGTTTATTTGATGCTTCTCCCCACCTACCCTTTACACGTGCGTGTCAGCACAGTGGGTGACTCTGTGTGATAGTCAGTGATAGACAGAGATGGATGAAGCTGAAATACAGTTTATAAGTCAAAAATAGCAAGTAAGTTTATTTCATGTATTTGTGGTGGAGTTTATTCAAGCCTTTCTAAAATGATGACACAAACAAATGCCATTTGTAGCACGCACGCACACACACACACACAGCGCGCGCACAAGAATTACATGCTTTGTTTTAAAAACATTTTGTAAACAAATTTTTAATCCCAGTTTATTTGCAATATAAAATGTTCTGTGGACATGACTATAGATGTTATTATAGAAACATGATGCCTCTGTCAGTCAATTTGGTGGGTGGGGAAAACCACACTCCTACGTCACGTTGTGGTGGGAATATAGTCAAAAACACTGGGATTTGGATCCCAATTTATGGTCAGGAAATTTTAAAAAGAGACCTGTTGGGTTTATATCAATCCAATTTGACAGTGGACACACTATACATACACACAATCCTGTTCAAACAGTTTACAAAAGTTGATTTTCATCATAGGTGCCTCTTAAAATAAGTTTTGATATCTTTTACTAAATTACATTTACAAAATTAGCTTTATGGAACATGATCTCTACTTAATATTTCAAACACTTTTGGCATAAAACAAACAAAAAATAATGATTTGAACTTGTACAATGTATTTTTGGTTACTCCTAGACTCTCAGAAATGAAGGTACACGAGCTGTCACTGGGGTGGTACCATTTAAAAAGGTACAAATTTGTACCTTTTTCCATATTAATACATCAGTGGTACATATATAAAAAGTACAAAAGTGTTCCTCTTAAAACTTTAAGGTACTAACATGTACCTTTGGGGTACTAATATGAACCTTCAAGTACAAATGTGTACCTTTTCAAAAGGTACCATCGCAGTAACAGCTCGTGTACCTTTATTTCTGAGAGTGTACAAATATATCTGTGCATCTTCAGACTGCTTTTGTCCTGGGTCACATATGGTGAATGACACTATATATAGGCGCTAAATGATTTAGACAGTTTAAATGTGATTTCCACTGGGATGAAAGAGGTCAGTTTGCTTGAGTCCAGACACACACACACAGAGCAGATCAAATGAAGTGAATTATAGGGCAATGCATTTTATATTTTACAGAAAAAAAAAACAGCAGAGACCCTGGGTTATGTAAAGAAAACTTCATTTATTACTTTTGTAGCATGACATAAATACTCAGTAGACTTTGAAAAGTTGTTCTTTACATCTTATTCGACTGAACCGGCCATTACAAAATAAGAACAAGCTTTGAATAAATAGAGCAAATTCTCTCGTTGTGATTCTCTTTATACAGAAAAAAGTAATTTTGTACATATATAATTTCATTATTATTATTATTATTATTGTTCTCTGTAAAATAAAACATCTGTATAATTTTAAATACTCATATCCTATTTTCAATTAATACAAAAAACAACAACGCAAAAAAAAAAAAAACTGAACAAAAGTGTAGAATGAGAATCGGAAGAGGGCACAAATCAGAGAGTGAGCTTAAAAAATCGCATGAAAACAGGCTGGAAGTGGAGTTTGCAGACGCTGAACCTGCCATTTGAGGAAGCGTTTGACTTTTGGCTGATTCGCAGTCCTCGTTTACAACTCAAAATACATTCCAAGAGTAGCTGTAAAAATAAATCCCGACATACAATCAAGACATTCCTGAGGAACGGTCGTGATATTAAAACAGGAAGCAACAGGAAAAACGACAGAATTGTTCCATTCGGTTTAATGTCTACTTGATCGTACCTCTAAATAAAGATGGGGGAGAAAAACATATAAAAGACTACATTATATCAATCCAGCAGAAGTCCTAAAGCTATATCTGCAGTATTGTTAGTGGTGTGCATTTGAAAATTGACTCCAAGTGTTTATCCCAATACTGATGATACTAGACCCTATTAATGACTAAATGTGAGCAATATATGAAGGTCAAAGTAAAGCGATTGAGATCTGATCAAAAGCAACTCTTACTATTTGAAGATAGAACTATTGCAAAACCTGCTTATGTACCACGTCAACCAAAATATAACTACCCTGCCATTCCAAAATAATCCTAATGCAAAGCGTAAAGTTAAGATTACAGTTAGTGTTTCAAAATTGCAGTGTTTTTAAGTGTTTGTAGACATTATTCTGTAAATGCAGGGAAGTCGAGAAACGGGTTTGAAAACAGGAATGATCAGCTTTAACACTTGGTCAAGGGTAATGAGGCAGAAAAAGGCAAGTATTAAGAATCAACCAACCAGCAGAATAAAACCACCTTGTATTGCTAGAACCGGTCACGTTCAACTCAATACATGTCGCTTCATATGAAGCATGCAAACATTGTTGCTTTGGATGCCTAGGATTTAAAAGGAATGTGATCATAAGGCAAAATAATTATGATGATAAATGATGTAATTCACTATTTAGTGTCAATAGGATTGTTTAGTGTTGAAAACTATGTAGTTGATCACTTGCTTATGATAGTAGAGATAATACTGCAACTTCTGAAATCAGTAGTGAGGTCCAAAATCAGTCTTGCGGTGTGGTCACACTTGTAGATTTGGTTTTATAGGTTTTATTGGTCTTACCTTCATTCATCTTCAGAACACAAATTATGATATTTTAAATTAAATTAGAGAGCTCCCTCATCCTCATAGACAGCAATAGTCCATAGATGTTCAAAGTACATGAAACCGTCCACATGTCTTCAGTGGTTCAACTGCAATCATACGAAGTTCCATATGCACTTTTGTGCTACAAAAAACTCAGTAAAATCAATTTTGTTGACCTATTGACAATGTTTTACGTTCCTTTTCTGGATTTTGAGCATTTCGTTCCTGTTGCTGTCTATGGAGGATGAGGGAGCTCTCTGATGTAATCTAAAATATCTTCTTTTGTGGTCTGAAGAATAACCAAGGTCTCAGGGGGTTGAAACGGTATTGCAGATGAGGAATTAATAACAGAATTTTAAATTTTTATTATTTGAGGTCCTTTGAAATAATGATACCTTTAAAATGTATATTTTTCTAAATAAACATCCATAGCAATGACGTGTGAATTGTAATGTGAATCATTAAGACTATGACAAAAAGTAAAACATTTTGTAATCTTGATGGTCATATCTTGTGAGATCATGTCCTGCTTTTGGTTTGTTTAGGATGTCACGGATGCAAGTCTGTGTTGTGTTCATTTTTCAGTCAAACCACCCCAGAATTCACCTGGTAGTGAACTGAAATGCTTTTTCAGTGGTGTCTGAATGCTTATTTGGTGAACACCAAGCTGTAGATAGAAGTATAGTCACTTAAGGAGTAGTTCACCCAACGATAGAAAGTTATGGGATATTTACTCAAAAATAGAAAGTTATGGGACATTTCACCCAAAAATGGAAAGTTATGGGATATTTTACCCAAAAAAAATGGAAAGTTATGGGATATTTCACCCCAAAAATGGAAAGTTATGGGACATTTCACCCAAAAATGGAAAGTTATGGGACATTTCACCCAAAAATGGAAAGTTATGGGATATTTTACCCAAAAATGGAAAATTATGGGATAGCTCACCCAAAAAAATGGAAAGTTAGGGGATAATTTCCCTAAAAATGGAAAGTTATGTGATATTTCACCCAGAAATGGAAAGTTATGGGATAGTTCACCCAACCATGAAAACTGTGTCATCATTTACTTACACTAAACTGCTTCAAAACTTTTCAAAATTTTGTTCTTCTGTTGAAAACAAAGGAAGATATTCTGAAGAATGTTGGAAAGAGGAGCTATTTACCTTTATAACAGGGACACAAAATACTATGGAAGTCAATGGCTGTTTTTTTTTTTTCTTCTTGTATTCTTCAAAATATTTTCTTTGTGTTCGACAGAGAAGGAAACACAAACAGGTTTGGAACAAGTAGAGGATGAATAATCGACAACAGACTTTTAGTTTTTGGGTAAACTCACCGGAAGTATTTCCATGCTTTTAAGAGTTTCATTTTTGGTCAAATGCAAAGGAAAATATTTAGAAAAATGTTGGAAACTAAACCAGTAACCACAGGCCATTGACCTACATATGGTTTCTAATGTTATTAAAAAATGTTTCCATCCAATAGAAGAAGGAAATGAACACCGGTTTGGAAAAAGTGAATGATGGTTAAATGATGGTAGAAAGCGGATTTCTAAATTCACATTAAGAACTTATAAAATTTCCCAATTACTCTCAATATAAATGAACACTTTGAATAATTTACATTTTTGGGGAAAAAATATATCTTCATTCAAATAAATTTCACTAGTTTGTTTTCCTGATATTAAACCTACCAAGTGTGAACACACCTTTAGACTTCTTCTTCTCATCAGGTTTTGTGAAAAATCACAATTATTCATCTTCATACATTAATATGATTGACTTTCTACAAATAAAAGTTGGTCACTTCATCATTAACCAAAACAAAACATCAAAACTAAAAGTGTGCAAAGAGAAACAAAGGCATCTGCCTCAGTGTAGAAGACAGTGAAGATCGACTGATCTGCAATTGTAGGCAAACTTAAGCAGGATAAGACCGTGTGAAAGGGGTCAAGAGGGATGAGGTAGGGGGGTTTAAAGTGTTCTGTTGTACCAGAGGGAAAAGCAGAAGGCTCCCAAACTGCTGTAAAAGGCAATTTAAGTTTTACAGAATGTACAAAAAAGGAAAATAAAGAACATCCAGATGTTGCACATTCATTTGCAAGAGGAATATGAGAGAAATCTTCTCTTTTGGAAGATACAAATCTATTTCAAACTTTCAGCATATATACACACACACACATCTGTTTTTGGCCATTCAACTTAATCTCCAAATATCACTTCTGTTTTAAAGAAAGCAGCATTGTATTCTAAATTAAAACATTAAATAAAGGAAACATCTGTGCTATAATGTGCCACAAAGGTGTCACTGATGGTGCAGTTAGTGTTAGCATTATTGTCTTCATATATGTCACAGTTTTGTTATTCTCATATTTATAATGTGCTCACAGTTTACATTCACTCTGGAAATCTGAGCCTGTGGAACCTCCGGCACTAATAAAGCCACAATTACTGCCACACAAAATCCCATTAACAAGCTGTATTATTATAATTATTTTCTTCTCTTGTACGTGGTCGGGTGTGCTTCTGTTTTACAGAATAGCCCGCTTGTTCCATGCTCGATTAAAGCAAATTTGTAATTAAGCTCATTAAAAGCAAAGCCCTAAATAAATACTTTGGCTCCCACAGCGATGGGGTACTTCCTTGTGTGCTTGAGGCATTTCCCAACCGTCCATTAGAGTCCTTCTCGCTTTTTGTTCCCTGGTCGAGGCTTTTTCTTTTCCTTTTCGCTTTGTAGTGATTGCATTTAGTGTTCATATTTACATCGTTTTTTTTTTGTTTTTTTTTGATGATGATGATGAAAATGTGCATGTCTCTTCAGGCTAAAGAATCAAACCTCATTGTAGTGTGCTTACATCTGTGTGTGTGTGTGTGTGTCAGATACCAGTCCTGTCACTGTAGAAAGGCGTAACGTGGAACATGTAGCAGTGAGTGCAAACTCTCACCGGCTTCATCTGACCATATCTAGGCAAGGGGGCTGAGTGTGATGAGCAGCGGGAACAGAAGATCTGCAATAAAATATCACATTAGGATCTCAATCAAGTGATATTATAGTTCCTGACATTGGTAAACAACGCTACAGAAAGCCAAAGTGAGTAGCTACATGAATCTAAACAGTGTTTTCATGAACGCTAACAAATAATAATCAGATTTAAATGCACATATTAACCTTTTAAAGGGACAGTACGCAGAAAATTCAGTCAACACTTACTCCCCCTTAATTTGTTCCAAACTCTGGTTTCTTAATTCTGTTGATATCTGGTTGAATGACAGCATGTTAATGTGTTTTAGTGTAATTATCTATCTATCTATCTATCTATCTATCTATCTATCTATCTATCTATCTATCTATCTATCTATCTATCTATCTATCTATCTATCTATCTATCTATCTATCTATCTATCTATCTATCTATCTATCTATCTATCTATCTATCTATCTATCTATCTATCTATCTATCTATCTATCTATCTATCTATCTATCTATCTATCTATCTATCTATCTATCTATCTATCTATCTATCTATCTATCTATCTATCTATCTATCTATCTATCTATCTATCTATCTATCTATCTATCTATCTATCTATCTATCTATCTATCTATCTATCTATCTATCTATCTATCTATCTATCTATCTATCTATCTATCTATCTATCTATCTATCTATCTATCTATCTATCTATCTATCTATCTATCTATCTATCTATCTATCTATCTATCTATCTATCTATCTATCTATCTATCTATCTATCTATCTATCTATCTATCTATCTATCTATCTATCTATCTATCTATCTATCTATCTATCTATCTATCTATCTATCTATCTATCTATCTATCTATCTATCTATCTATCTATCTGTCCTATCTATCTAATCTATCTATCTGTATGTATGTATGTATGTATGTATGTATGTATGTATACACACACACATGTATATACATATACATATATATATACACACACACACACACACACACACACACATACATACATACATACATACATACATACATACATATATATATATATATATATATATATATATATACACATATATATACATATATATATATATATATACATACAACGGGACAATCGTGTATATAAATAAGAAAATCAAACACACAGAGTCTAAAAACCCCTTTTTATCAGGAACTACTTTCTTCTATGTTCATTCACATCTGCAGCTGACGTCAAAACAGCAGAAGCCGTAACTAATTCACCAACGTCACTTTAGAGCTAGTGTTTGAATGACTCTCTATGTCTAAAGTGATGACGAAACAGCTGATTTTGCTCACTTTATGATTATATTGCTGAACATGACATGAAATGTCATTCATCTACAGAGATATCTTTTTACAGTGTTAGTTCAGTGTTCGTGGGTGAGGTTGAGAAGCGGGATAGGATGCAGCAGGTTTTGGGTGGCCGCTTCGATCGGGTACTGTACCAAAGTTGGCAACCCGGGAGTGTTTACAGACTCTACCAAAGAGGGGGGTTGATAAAATTACGGAAAAAAACGGAAGTGTTGGCAGGTATGCTTATCAGTTTAATAATGATTTGATTTGCTATAGTTAGAAATCAGACTGTGATAAGCTTCTTAGCGTGAGGGCTTATTTTGTGGTTCTGTCACCATCTTGTGGATAGAAAACATCAACCGTCTTTGGTCTACTACACTATGGCAGGCTAATGGCCGTCAACAAGTTATCTAAGAAATTGTAAATATTTTAAAATATGCACTATTTTATACAAATAAACTGTATAGTTGCAATCTAAACTACATTCTAGACTAAAAATGAATCTACAGTATATTTTGTTGTCTAACAGCAGTAATATTTATCAAACTGTAGTGTCTCTGTTAGTTGCTGGCTGTATGTGGCCAGAGTAAAACACAAACGGTAAAGGAGCAGTAAGGGGCAAATATATCACGGCTATCAGCCAATCAGATTCGAGAACCAGACAGAATAGAGTGGAGGAACTATGACGTCAATTTGTATGCAAAAACCCAGAAGCGAGTTAGCATTTTAGCACTTCCGGTTCCCTCGTCCCAAAGTCAATGGTTTTTTTGAATGGGGTTTCAGTAGAATCGCTTAAATAAGGTCCGTGGCTAACACAAACTCAAGATATTTTCACGTTTTGATCTACGACATAAAACACATCAGTTACAGCCCACTTTTGAATTTTTAATTCGGCCATGCTTCTTTAAAAAGACGGCTGCTATCAAGTTGCAAAATGGGACAACAGGCGGGGTTGGAGACATTATACGTCATCGAGCTGATCTGATCTGGAGCGCAGCTCGCTTGTGTTGGGCATTTGGATTTGTCTGTTATTTAGGTATTTTCATAAATAGTATTTTATAGTTTTTTTGTGTTTTTCTAATTAAGAATTCAGATTGTGTATAGATAATGTCTTCACATGTAAAGGCTGTCGAGACAGATTCATCTGTTGATTATTTATTTTAATTAAACTATATTATGAAGATGCTCACCAGTGCAGCCTGTCTCTCTCCTGCCCTCAGTAATGCAAACGTGTGAATAAATGTGTAAAAATACAGACATATTAACTGTCATTTTAACGTGATCAAGTGATTTTTCGTCTTTTTTATTAATCTGAACACATTTTACTCAGTCATAACTACAATATTTACACTCCTCCATAAAACGTATAGCAGATGTGACTGTATGGGCTGCTTTTCGCTGTACGTCGTGACATAAAAGGAATATTGAATGTTGCTCTGTGTCCATCATGATGGAACTTACAGCCATTTGATAGACTTGTTCCTCCTCACGCCTCATTTCTGTCATCTGTTTAGGTAAGCAGGCTGTGTGCACGCGAGTGATACACTTATTTAAATATGTCTGATGAAAATACTATATAGGCAGACTTATACACGCAGTTTTAAAACTTTTAAAACAGATGTATTTCCCACGTAAAACGATCCAAAAGGCACATAGGTCTATGTATTTTTGCGTATTTATTTGTTTATAATACATAGCATGGATTATAATATAATATACAGAGAGATTAACTCTTTGTCATGGACATTATTTCTAAAAATAATAAGCTTGATAAGTTGTCTGTAGCAGGGTGGGGCTGACGTCACAGACGAGCGCCCCGAGGGCTCTGTAGTCCGTTTATAGCCTAATGTTAGCTTTTTAACTCTTGCGTTATCATTTAAGATCCAAAAGTGCTCCAAGTTGTATTTTCGTGTGAGGATTATCCGGCTGAACAAAAAATGTAAGTGTAATGAACTGTGTTTGAACACAGAGCTTATTATTTGCAATCTTCGAAAAGCCTATGGGAAAATCCTATAGGGATTTTCACGAGGGAACCAGTTTTATGCTAGCAGCCGATTAGCCTACAAAGTGACGTCATAATTCCTCCACTCTATGGTTGTGTGTGCGTGTATGTGTGTGTATATATATATAAACAGAGCTTGACATGCTTATGACTATGTTTCTCACTCAGGACAATCATCAAAGTCACAGACCCAAGTAATGCCTAGCCAGACCACAACGCCATTTTAAAACTACAGTACCTTTCCACAACTTCTGCAGTGATGTTTTCTTCTAATGACTGTAAATGGTGCTTTACATGCTATGCAGGAATTGCAGGCCTCATCTGGCACCCATTCAGGAGGGTCTGATGTTGAAAGAAAAACAGAACATGCTTTTTTTTAAAATATATATTATTTAAAGGGTTAGTTCACCCAAAATTAAATTCTGTCAAAAATACAGCTCTCGATACATCTTCAGAAAACCAGTGAGCATATTGAACCAGTGTACATAGCTGATCCAAACAATCAAGTTGTTCAAGACTACTAGATACTAGTGTTGATTAGTTGGATCAGTTGTGTTTGATTTGGAGCAAAACTATGCAGACCTGCGGCCCTCCAGGAATTTGAGACTTATGTTTTAGATGAAATCAGAGAGCTCCCTCATCCTTCATAGGCAGTAATGGTACAGACTAATTTAGAAAGTCCAGAAAGGTACCAAAACAGGACAAACTCTATGTGGTTTAATTAGAATGTTCTCAAGTTGCGACTCAGTTTCTTCAGTTCAGTGTAATTATATTGGCACCATCATGAGAACTGTGCATACCCTGGATGCCCACGTGTAAGTTTCTCTATTTGAAACAAAGCACAGACGCATCTGAGGTCATTTATTAGCAGCGGGACATAGCACAAAATGCATAAAGAGCACAATGTTCTTGGGAATATTGATTTCAATTAACAGTTTATTCTCAATGTCATTGAGAAAGGGGAGGAGGAGGATCGGTAGAATGAGGTGCCAGATCAGATTTCAGAGGTGCCGAATCAGGATCCAACTGTTCTGGCAAAAATTAAGCCCTCCCTGGGGTGCAACCCTGATAATGGTGATGATGAAAAAAAGGTTTTATTTGTCACATCCACTTTTATATGCAGCAAAATTGGACCCCTTCATCTATACAAAAATATAACACATTTTAAGGCAAGACAGGTCAGATGAGAGGTAGCAAAAAAGCCCCTTCCAGACTGTCCTTAAAAGTAGGGCAGTGTGAAATCACGGAGAAAAAAACCCCAGCAACAAGCACATAAACACAGACATAAACCCTATAGTGACACCAAGAAGAAACTGTTAAGTCATTATTTTTGTTTTATGTGCGGACAAAAGTATTCTCATAGCTTTGTAATATTCCAATTCAACCACTGCAGGCATACGTTCTGTTTTGAGGTATTTCTCTAGACTTTTGATCAAGTCGGAAACCTGGCTGTCAATGGTGAATAAGGGAGCTCTCAGATTTCATTTAAAATATCATTATTTTCGTTTCAAAGATGAAGGAACATCTCAGGAGTTTGGTATTAATGAGAAAATGTATTTATTTTAGACCCAGTAATATTTTAAACACATAGCTGGTGTATTGAACTAACCTTCAAACTGTCCCTCTCTGGCTTTGGCAGCGAGCTCTGATGAAGAGATGGTCTCCTGACAGAGAGCACAGTCTTCCAGCACTGCACTGCCCAGACATGGACCTGAGGTGCATATCAAATAGCACATTAGACTAATGACGTCTAAAAAAAGAGCAATGAAAACTTGCTGTTGTAGTTTGTGTATATTTCAGAAGTGTGACTCGCTGACCTTTCTTGGGCTTTTCATTGTCTCCTTGGTCTGTTTTTGTAGCCATGACCTCAAACAGAGTCTTTAAGATGCTTCGGAGGTCACTCGCATAGTTTGTTTGCAACTGATCAGCTACACCTTCAGATGTTTAAAAAAAAAAAGTATTTAAGTATATTAATTAAAAATTGTTAGTTTACAGAGTTAGCAAAAAAGCAGTAGCAGATTATACAAGTAAAGGGGTATTTCACACAGAAATGATAAACATTATTAATTACTCATCCTTATGTCTGTATGCTCATCTTTGGAAAACAATCCTAATGGGACATGAGGCTTCTAGTTAATCAATATGAGAGCTCTCTTTTTAACATCACCATTGCTTTCTATGGATGATGAGGTAGCTCTTAGATCTAAAATAGCTTAATGTATGTTCTGACGATAAACAAAGGTTTCAGGCAATTGAAACAATATAAGGATGAATAACTATTCAAACTGACATTTTTAGGTGAACTGTCACTTTAAGACACTAGACATAAGCCTGTCCAACAGCTGTCCAGCAGGATAACACACAATGTCATAAAGCGCGAATAATCTCTGATTTATTTGAACATGACAATGAGTTCTCTGTACTCAAATGCCCTCCACAGTCAACAGATCTTAATCCAAGAGCACCTTTGGGATGTGGTGGAATGGGAGATTCGCATCATGGATGTGCAGCCGACAAATCTGCAGCAACTACATGATGTTATCATGTCAATATGGACCAAAATCTCTGAAGAATTTTTCCAGTACCTTGTTGAATCTATGCCATGAAGGATTAATGCAGTTCAACCCGGTACTAGTAAGGTGTGCCTAATGAAGTGGCAGCGAGTGTACTTAGCACATTTACTGTACAGTACACTTTGTTCAATACACTTTGCAGAGTTTTAAAGTGCACATAAGGGGGACACACTGGTACCCATTACACTGCACTTAGGTTACACTTAAAACTCAGCTTTACATTGTATTAAATACGCATCTTCATTTTAAGATGTGAAGTGTGGTTGTAGCTTTATTCATATCGTTATAAATACTTTTATAAAACATGTAATGTTTAAAAAACATAAATATGTTGTTTATTTAAGAGATTGATTTGGAGTTCTACAGTACTTAAAAAAATTAATCTGAAAAGTGCAGACTAGGTTGATGGTGGACATCCTCATGGTGTTCGTTTTATTTAACCTTTTTATTATGCAATTAATTACAAGTTCCTAGTGTTAAATTCTGCTCCCAAGAGTCACCAGACTACAAATCCCACATGTAACGCACCTGAAATGCAGACGAAAAGACGATGAATGAGGTCACTACTGCTATGGAAACGTGAACGAATTTTGTTGTGGGCAGCAAGTTTGGCAGCTTGTAAAGCCACTTGAATCTCCTGATGATCCAGGTCCTCAGACATGTCCGAACTGGTTGTCAGACTACTGACGGGGCTGAAAAGCAAGATGGTCAAATTTGGTTAGGTTTTATATTCAATTTTTTTCAATTCATCTATAATTCAATACAATGTAGATTGTGTCAAAGCAGCTTAACATTGAAGTTCTAGGTAATCTAAATTGTTCCAGTCCAGTTGAAGTTTAGTTTAGTTCAGTTCAGTTCAGTTCAGTGTGGTTTTAATTTCAATGATAAAAGCCTAAACACTGAAGTGTAAATAATTAGTTGTATAATGGTAACAAATATTTCATCATCTTTAATAGTTATTAATTCTCTAGTCCTTAAATTCTGGAAAATGAACAAGAGTTCTAAAAAGGCATAAATGAAGTATGACTAAATAACTCAATGGTTTAAACTGCTGGCTTTCCTCACAAGAGCAATTCATATTATTGAGTTAATCCTGAAAGCGTGACCTTAATGCTGCAGGGTTTTATGGGTTTTATGGAATAACTAGCTGGAATCACAGAGCACGTTTTGGAGGTAACTTTATTATATTTACAAGGTTTTGTTGCTTTGGGGGCAAAACTGCATATAGGCCCAATCAAAATTCTACCCCAGTCCTTGCACTTCTTCACTTATGCCTATTCAGCTTTGGTCAGAGGTGTAGAAGCAGGAGAACTGCCAGAAAACCCTCCAAGTTGTTTTGGGGTCACCACACTACAGCTTAAGATTTCCCTGAAAACAGCAGCTACATGGCTGCCCAAGTGAGCAAGGACACCCACAAATGAAGAAAAATTGGGATTGATAAAGACTGTTACAACAAAAATGCATAAATGCACAAAAAAAATGTCTAATAATAACTGTTGCATGACAGTCCCGCACTACATTTAAAAAAAAATTGATACTTGATGATGACACATTAGGGCAGTCTGTTCAAAATATCTAGCAACAATCATTCTGCATTTTACAGCACATCTGGTATAATGTTAATGCGTTTTTTTTTTTTGTTACATCCATGAATATGAGCACTCTGTAAACAGACTACACCACCTGACAAAAGTCTTGTCGCCTATCCAAGTTTTAGGAACAACAAATAATAACTTGAGGTCTAGTTGATCATGTGGTATCATAAGTGGCTTATATGAAAGGCAACAGCCTTTAGATTGTTTATTTTACCAAAATAAAATATGATCATGCCTTGTTTTTTTGTTATTTAATTAGGACAGTAAGATTTGACTTTGCTTAGACAAAAGTCATGTCATGTAACAGGAAAAATGTACAGTATAAAATATAAAGTCATGGTGCAGTGGAAAAATAATTAATATTATGTATGACTCCCATAAGCTTGGAGGACTGCATCCATACATCTCTGCAATGACTCAAATAACTTATTAAAAGTCATCTGGAATGGCAAAGAAATCGTTCTTGCAGGACTCCCAGAGTTCATCAAGATTCTTTGGATTCATCTTCAATGCCTCCTTGATCTTACCCCAGACATGCTCAATAATGCTCTTGTCTGGTGACTGGGCTGGCCGATCTTGGAGCACATTGACCTTCTTTGCTTTTTCACTTTGATGTGGAGGCTGAAGTATTATGCTGAAGAATTTTCCCTCTCCTGTGGTTTGTAATGTAATGGGCAGCAGAAATGTCTTGATTCATCAGGCTGTTGATGTTGTCGTCCAATCTGCAGATTTCTTGGACACCCCATAATAAACGTAACCCCAAATTTTCCTTCACCAAACGTGACTGATTTCTGTGAGAATATTGGGTCCATGCGGGTTTCAATAAGTCTTCTTCAGTATTTGTTATGATTGGGATGCAGTTCTCCAAATAAGAAGTACTTTTCTAAATGATCAACTAGAAGTCAAGTTATTATTTGTTGCTCTAACAACTGGGATCAACGACAAAACATTTGTCAGGTAGTGTACAGTTTCCTGCTTTGTGCAACATCCTTAACCAATCATAAAATGAATGCCTAAATAAACCCAGAGGCTTGTAGTTTGCTAAATTAAAACAAACTTATTTTTTAGGTAAAAATACAGTGTACACTTTTTAGTGTGTAATCTGTTAAACGTTAATGTGCTTGTTCTTTCTAGAATAAATAATGCAGGTGACATCTTGTGTGATGTATGAGCTTAACCTGATGACGTTTGCATGTGTAGTAGTGGTGTCCTGTTTCTTCTGGGAATATTTTCATCCCCACCCTATCATTCTGTTTCAAGGGTCAAGCAGAATATAGAACTGGGACTTGGCCTTAGTCAGCTCATGCATTTCCATAGAATCCAACACTCTTAACATCATACTCCGCACACGCTAAACGTGAGCCAATAAAACATGGCTGTGCTTTTTCTGAACATCTTAGCCAGGCCATGCTAACTTTTGGGTTGGTCTAACAAAAGAAAAATCTCATCCCTGATGCATTCTACAAAAACAGTGCTTACATAGTCTAGTTCTAAATATCAGACAAAGGTTTACCTGGGTGCATATGAACTTGACAAACTGCATGTAGTAACAGAAACACCATCAATGTCACTGCTGGGTACAGAACTGAGGGGGGACTCCTGAGAACTGCTGTGGACCATTCCAAAACAAAAAACATGAGGCGGCAACAAAAGAAAGGGAAATAGTAGAACTTAAAAGCATGACAACCTTCAGAATGAAATAAACTCATATATTTAAAAAAGATGGTAACAAACAAAACATTTTCAAAATGGGGCGAGGGGGAGGAGTTAAAACTTAAAGCTATAAGTCACCGAAAAATGAACATTTCCTCACCATTTACTGACACTCGAGTGGTTCTAAATGTTTACGAATTTCTTTCCTCGGTTGAACAATGTTGGAAAAAAGCAACTGCTGACATCCAAAGTAGGAACAAAAATACTATGGAAGTCAACGGCTGCTTTTTCTGACATTCTTTAACATGTGCGCAACAGAAGAAGGAAATTCAAACCGGTCTGAAACAAGTAAATGATGTCAGAACGTTCTTTTTTGGCTAAACTATCTCTTTAAATGTGAAAGCTTAATACATGCTTCCTGCAAATTAAACAAACCTATTGATCTTCCGGTTATCATCTTTGGACTGTTTTCCAAAACATTCCGATTTCCCTTTTACTGAGGCATTATGTTGCGTTCGGCATCCTGTGTCCTGAAGGGTGCAACTAGGTCCTCCCTCCTGTCCTGAGCCTCTGTCCTGAGCCAGAAGTACCCCTGGGCTGCATTTCTCACAGCAGGGATAGTGGATACCATCCTGACTGCCCTCATCTTCTCTCGCTTGGTTTTGCACTGAGCAGTTTGGCACAGAATGGGTAAGGTGGCCCTGAGACGGGGGCAGGGTGAGCGGCAAATGTCCATTTCCCTTCCCTGGGCTGCCAGCAGCTACAGCCGATTGGATGACGGAGCTTGTGATGGTCAACTTGTGCTTCTCGAATCCCAGTGCCATGCTCCTGCCAGCAGGTTCCATGGCATCCTCATGGTTGTCGACGCAGCCACCAGCACAGCACACACAGGAGTTAAGCAGGCACTGAGTGGCGACCAAAGCCCCGCCTTCGCCAGCTTCAGGAGCATCAGCTGATTGAGGTAAGACCACAGCCAGATCACTCAAGCTTGGAGAATGAGGGTTAAAAATAACGGTGGCGGACAGCTTCATTCCACCAGTACGATTGGCGATTTCTTCAGCAGTCTGTACGCTATCCTCATCCTGCAATCCTTCCCATCCGTTCACCATCCTGTCTGAGTTTCCAACAGACTCAGTTGATTGGCTCAGTTTGCGCTGACAACCCAAATTGGTGGCGTCGCTCGATTGGCAGACTGTCAACCAACCATTACAGGATGCGTCGGGTCTACAGTGTGATCCCTCAGGGGATCTGAGGCATACGGTAGGAAGAGGAAGCTGTCCACGGCAGAGCTCACTACTAAGGCCAGACTCCAGATCGTCCATGAAGAACACCCGGTCATCATCATGGTACGATCCCGGGGCTCTCCTAGGAGACGCCTGTGTGCTGGAGGTGGCACTGGAACCTTCGAGACTGCTTCCATTGTAGGGTCGAGGCCGGTGAGCTGGGGACTGATTCTGACTTGGAGGGGAAAGCAGTGTAGACATTTCGTCTCCTACTTGATGCACCATCATATTAAGTTGCTCGATCTCTTCTTCATCATACTGCATGGAGCAAGCCAAGTCAGCATCGATGGGCTCCTCCTCCTCGCTCTCGCTGGAGGACTCGGGCAGCACCTGCTTCTCCTCCTCCTCCTTCCATACAGAATCTTCCTGAGTGACAAACAGTGTGAGATCCACAACCTCCTCCACTCCTTTCTCTTTTTCCAGTTCCTCCGTCTGACTATCAGGACCGGTGGAAGCGGATGGATCATTGGTTGAACTTGTAGGAAATTCTCCATCCTGGGAGATGCAGAGGCTTCGCTCCAGAGTCATGAGCTCTTCTTCTGTCAGAGTCTGAAGCAGGTCCCTAATGTAAAAACACAATTTTATGATTCACGGACATTTCCAATGTAAATTGAATTAATTAATTAATTAATAGGGGTCAGGTTTTAAATCTTAGTGATGATGCAATTCAATAATTAAAAAGTTATTAATGTCAGTCCTACACAATAACTGCTAAGATCGCATGCAATGTTTTTTTTTTTTTGGCAGTGAGATTTAATTGTTTTCCACAGGAAAAAAGTTAAAAGTTTAATCCAGTAATGTACTCCCAATAATTAAACTAAACATAATTAAATTAAAAACATATTCCTAAGTTTTCAGGCAGAAACAAAAACAAAACAAATGGGAGTGTGACATGAGACGGTTGTGAAATATGGGAGACTCTTGGGGGAAAAAGGGGACTGTTGGCTGGTATGGTCATAGCTAATATAATCTTTACAATTGCAAGTTTTGGTAACACTTTAGAATAACTATCCGTTATAACTAGTTAATAGACCATTAATAAACTGTTAGTTAACAAGTTATAAATGACTTGTTAAATAAAAGTTAAGAGTTTGTTAATTATTTACAACTGTGCCTTATAGATGGGCAATGGATAACTTACAAGCAGTTAGTTAACAAGTTGTAAATGACTTCTTAACTGTATTTTAATGATTTATAACTGTACCTAATAAATTATTAAGAGATCATGAACAAGCTGTTAGTAAATTACTTAATAAAGGCTTGTTAAGTATCAGTTAATAGTGTATATATGTTATTGGGACATTATTCTAAAGTTGCAGCTATTTTTAATTTATTAACTGTTAGTAAATGAGGAATAGTTTCAACTTTAGAATAACGTCCCAATAACATGCTTAAGCTAATAACCAACACTTAACTAATATATTTACTCACACTTTACAGACGAGAGTTGTTCATCGTTTGCTAACCATCTATTAATACCAGTGAATCTTTGTAGAACAGCAAATGGATGGAACAAGTTCAAGCTACAGAAATTGGATGTAATATTTAAAATATTAAATGTTTGTATCTTAACCTTGTTCCACTCATAGACTTTTCTGTGTGCTGTGTTTTACCAAAGAAACTCCACAGATGAAATGTTGAACGTTGTGTTTAATGTATAGAAACACACATACTGAACCATCACATGGCAGTACAGCACTATACAAGAATACAAACCCATGAAGTGCTAAACATGTAAACAAAATAAATAAAAATTTATTTTATTAAAATTCTACAAAGTTTCACTGGTGTTATTAGATGGTGAACAATTGATCTGTACAGTGTGAGTAAATATAATAGTTAAGTGTTAGTTATTAGCTTATGTATGTTATTGGGACGTTATTCTAAAGTTGCAACTATTCCTCATTTACTAACAGTTAATAAATGAAGAATAGCTGCAACTTTAGAATAACGTCCCAATAACATATATACACTATTAACAGATACTTAACTAGCCTTTATTAAGTTATTTACTAACCGCTTGTTCATGATCTCTTAATAATTTATTAGGTACAGTTGTAAATCATTAAAATACAGTTAAGAAGTCATTTAAAACTTATTAACTAACAGCTTGTAAGTGATCTATTAGCCATCTATAAGGCACAGTTGTAAATAATTAACAAACTATTAACTTTTATTTAACAAGTCATTTATAACTTGTTAACTAACAGTTTATTAATGGTCTATTAACTAGTTATAACGGATAGTTATTCTAAAGTGGTACCCAAGTTTTAAATACTTATGCTGTGTTCACACCAGATGAGGCACACGTTAATAAATCACGCTATTTAGACTCTATTGAATTTACTCATTTCGAGCATCAAATTTACTTAATTTGCGTGTGAAATTCACTTCACAAAAGATGTAGACTCGCATCATGGGCGGTGCATCTGTTTGCCCGGTGACTCTAGTTTCGTTGCTAGATAACTAACATGAATTTTATTGAGAGAATAGCTGTGTTTATGTGCTTAAGAAAGGCTGAAAAACAGCATAGATTCGGTCGGTGCAGTATCTGAATACACTAGATCCTTTCAGAGGTGCACCGCCCAACTCTGTGAGTTCCTAGAAACAATACCTGGATGACGGAGATTTTTAGCAGTGCTTCCAACTGAGCCGAGCCCAGTTTGACAAACTAGTGTCCGGTGTCAGCAAGACGATTTCCCCTCGGGACACCAACAATAGGCTTTACGGCATAATCCCCTACAAGAGCAAGCTCCTGATAGGTTAAAACGGCGCAAATGTCCAGTGAAGTTCAGATTCTCCAAGTCGAGGGATCTACACGCAAATCGCTCCACTCGTGCCACTTCATTCACACAAATCGCGTCACAGGATGTCTATTCGCGTCTTCACAAATACATGTAAATTACTTGCTCTTGACACTTTTTTTCGCGTTTGGTGTTAACGCAGCATTAAACTGACCCTCCTGCATGAATTACTTAGAACACTTTCGTTTCATATTTCCACGTAATGTGCCCAATGGACTACAGAGGACAGATTAGAGCTGCTGGATTTACAACATGTCAGTTCATCAACTGTTTAATAGATTAATAGAATAGATTAAAATGTTCTAGTTGACCTGTATGACCTATTATAATCAGATGCAGTATAGACTAGGGGTGACCAATCCTGTTCTTAGAGATCAACCTTCCTACAGAGTTCAGCGGCAACCTAGGTCAAACACACCTTCCTTTAATTACCTAGTGTTCCTTCTGATACTACTTCTTTCGTTTAGATGTGTTTGATCAGTGTTAGAGCTAAACTCTACAGGAAGGTAGATCTCCAGGAACAGGACTGGTTACTCCTGGTATAGATTGTATGTAGGATGACAAAACCAAAACCAACAGTGAAAGGTGACAGTTCACCTAAAAATTAAAATTTACTAAATATTTACTTAGTTTTAAATATTTATGATTTCCTATTTTCTGTAGGTTTAAGATTCAATGGTTACTGGATTGCAGCTTTCTTCAGAATATCTTCTTTTGTGTTTACACAGACGAAAGAAACACACATTTTTAACAAGTTAAGGGCAAAGTCCCTTTAAGGCAAGTCATTTTACTCGGTGGCTATCTTTGAAATGCCTCTTGGGCAGTATGCCCAGGCATTCTGTTTAAATGGAGAAACCTTAAATTCTCCAAAATTGCTTGCCAAAGTTTAGATTAAATTTTGTTATTAGGAATCACAAATAAAATTAAAACAACTGTCCCTTTAGTATAATTTCTATGCTTTTGAGTCACACAAATTCTGCAATAATTATTTGCTCCTGTACCAAAAGGTGGTGCTTCATTCCCCATATTGACTGTTACACTTTTCCCCATTCAAAACTGTACAAGTGACACATCTTGTTTATTGTCTTTGTTAAAGGTTGAGTAAATGACAGAACGTTCAGTTTAGAGTAAACCATCAATTTTAGACTTTTTTCACATGCTTGCGCTACCACAAAAACAGCACAAATGGAGTGTCAAGGCCTGGTCAAACATCTTCACATGATGAGAATTTGCAGGTCAGAGTTCAAACTTAAGCTTTGGGTCACAGCGAAATGCAAAAACTCTTTTCACTAACTTGCATTTCCAGTGTCCTGCATTCACATTTGTTTGAATAGAAGTCCATGGGACAAAACATATAGTGTGACCAGTCATGACCCCTCTAGCATGACCCCAAAACTTTGAAGCTCCAGAAAAGCAGTGTTGCTGAAAAGTAGAGCTGACTAGGTATTCCATGCATTTTAATATTACTGATACTGGTTAATAATTTTTTAAGGTGCCATAGAGCATGATGTCATGTCTGTCACTTTTTTTGACCATTGAAGGCACAGTTCACCCAAAAATGAAAATTTACATACAAATCTTAAATTACAAAGTTGACTTTTTTCTTCAGTAGTAAATTAAAGAAGATTTTAGCTAAATTCAAAGTCCTTGGTGATTTATATAATGTAACTGCTATAAATTACAGTCAATGGTATAATGCAACTCATACTCAATACACTCAGGTATTTGCTGATACCTGTTTGCCAGGCTGTGGATTAAAGCTAACAATATTTTAAATGTTCAATTTCCTACATAGACTGATCACATCATAGGACCTCAGAATATCATCAGCACCCATGCTTGTTGAAACGAGTCTCCACTGACTTGCATTAAAACAAGTCACCAAGGACCACAAATTCTTTAGTTTTTTAAACAAATTCTTATTAAAAATGTATTTAATAAATTCTTTATTGTAGTTTTATTTAATGTTCTTCTCCACAAGAAATTAAAACGTTATCTGTAGAACGTTAAATTATCTGATAATATTCAATTTTGGACAAACAATCCCCTTAAGTGCCAAAATCTAAGGTTTGCTTAAAGTCGAGTGTGACTGTCCCTTGTAAGTTTAGACAACCTCATACTTTTGTGTTGCAGTGTTCAGACACGGTGTAAGTCTTTATTACATCACTGACTACAAATACCATTCAATCAGCCTAAAACAAAAACAGACAAAAAAAACAAACAAGCAAACAAAATCAAATCCAGTGGACCCCCCTCCCCCCCCCAAAAAATTATTTGAAATATTAATATCATTTACAATAATTTTGACTACTCTCATATATAAGATTTAAAAAAAGACTTTAAAAAAGAAAAAAACTTTTGCAATTCCAATAAAAAAATCTAATCAGTGAACATTATCTTAAACAAAAAAACATACCTTATTTTTCTCAGCAAAGTACGGAAAGGTCGGAACAGTTCAGACATGTCCTCTGGTTTGCGGTCGAGGTTAAGAGGCCCTTCGGAGTAAATAACAAGGCCACTAATGCAAGAAAACATTACAAAGCATAGCATTACCAAATGAGCAGAAACAAATAGATGTATGACATATACAGCGTAAGGAAAATAAATACTTAAAAACAGATCATTAGAGAGGTGAATCACCTACCAGACAATGGCAAGTCTAGGAATTGTAAACATGAGAGCTGGTTCATAGTCGTCGATCATGTCTTGAGTAAGATATTCAAGCTTCAGGGCCCTTAAAATGGGAACACAACACATTGGCTTATTAATACAGTTTAAATTAACGTAATTTAATTGATAAACACTTGTAGCACTATAAATGTATTATGCTGTGCAATGCATTTCGCGCTAGTTGTCAATACCCAGGGCTAGATTTAAAGATTTACCTCTCGACTGTTTCACAGAAGAGCACAATCACTTCCTGCTGGATGTAATACTCCTTAGGAGACTTCACAGGCACCATGGCTGACACATAACTACAGCAAACAGATATGGGATATCATTACAACATGTTAATGTATACACACTCAGGCCAGCTTCACACAGCAAGTGACCAGCATACATGACCAGCTGCAGACTCAAGAGTATGCATAGCAGAAGCGTTTGTAGTGCGTGAAATTTTTTTATACTTTCTATATAATAAAATTTTTAGTGATAATATACACAAACAAACAATTCATAAATAAATAAATAAATAATAAACTTTATTATTTTTCATTCCACTCATGCTTGTCTGAATATAAAACAGAACTATGTACCTGATAAAAGTTCCCTTTATTAATGCATTAGATTACTCGATGAACTGCTTTCTTACCACCACCACGTCCCTGTCATGAGCAGTTTATTTCTCATACTGTGGGGCAATATTTTTTTACTCTTTATGGTTGCACTAGAATGGAATAATTAAAAATGCATTGTTCTGTACATACATGTTATGCAACAAGTATATGTCTTGTAGCCTGCTGATTTTGCATGATAAATTGTCTTTTGACAATGACTCTTGAAAAACACACCAGGCATTTGTATACTGTGCATTTTGTGCGTTTATAGGCATTTTTGTGTGACATCACATTTATGTTGGCCATCAAATTGTGCCGTCACTGTATTTACAGCAAAAATAGACTAGGGCACAACAAACTTGCTTAAATGCACTCACTTGTTTACATGCATGCCAAAAAAACACAAGCTGTCATTGAGAGAACTACCCTTACAAGAAGTACACATTTGTATATAAAAGGTCCATACTGATACCTTAAAAAGTATATAGTACACATTTTGAATTTCAGGTACTAATATAGTACCGTTTAGGAACTAATATGTACCTTTTGGGTATCAAATTAGAAATAAACCAATATATAACACGTCACATTTTTTGTCAGAAAACACCTTTCTGAAGGTGCTGTTGACTTGAAATTTTGCCCAGATGTTGGTAGCAACCAATGGAATCCATAAATGCAAAGAAAACAAATCTAATTGGTTTATAAATTAAGGTATGTGTAATAAGATGAAATGACGCAGGGAAAAAGTATTGAACACATGAAGAAAGGGAGCTGTAAATAGGCAGTGAAAGACCAGACGGCAGCTGAAATCCCTCAATAGTTAGTATCTTTTAGTAAGTAGCAACCCTCTGCCTTTCGTCATTGTAAATAAGTATCAGCTGCTTCAGTCCAACATCTACATTAGCAGAATTATGAAGATGAAGCCAGGTTGGACTTTTCAGCAAGACAATGATCTAAAACACAGCCGAGAAAACTCTCAAATGCTTTCAGAAAAAGAAAATCAAGCTGTAGAATGGCCCGGCTAATCACCTGACTTAAATTCAATAAGAAATACAAAATAAAGATCAGATTTGTGAGACGAGATTTGCAGAACCATCAAGATTTTTACACTCTGTTAAAGTCTATGAAAAACTCACACCTGAGCAATGCTTGAGGCTTCATTCTTCAAATGAGAGGCATCTTTAATCTGCCATCACCAAAAAAGCCTTTAATATAAAATATATTAAAATATAAAGTATACATAAAATATATTTCAGTAGTTCAGTACTTTCTCCTTAGTGTCATTTCATTGTTATTACACACAACTTATTTTTCAGATTTTTTTGTTTTGTTTTATTTTAATGTTTATATTGTTTGGGTTTTTACCAAAACCTGGTTCAATTCCACTTCAACAGCTCCTTTAGAAATATCATTCCCTGAAAAAAAATATTTTGTTTAATACTTATTTTCCCCATTGTAAATACATCAACTCCAATAAAGATAGTGTAACCTTTTTTCTCAAATTGTATCAGCACCAATAAAAGTGGCATATCAATTACATAAGCAGATGTAAAAATCCTGTACCTGAGCTCAAACTCCGCAAAGAGGCCGTCAAAGTGCCGCAGCGCCTCCTTTATGCGCTCAGTGTAGTGGTTAAGATCTCGTAACGCTTGGTCTCGGGTGATGTTGCGCACTTCCTCCAGGCTCCGGGTGAGGTCTTTAGCCAGCGGTCTCATGGCCATGCTCTCAATCTCACGATTCATGATGATCGATCCTGCTGCCAGGCACTGAAGAGAGGAGGAGGAATAATAATAATTATAATAATAGAGTCACTTCTATCCAGTTACGCCCTGACATATGGCCACAATTGACAGGCTATTTGTAAAATTATGATGATGGAATACTGTTTTCCAGTAAAGAGCTTTATCAGCATGTTGATTTGAAAGTTAAAGAGAAAGATCATTAGTGATGAGCAGTTGGTGTGCTCTACCTCTGCCCCAAACCACAGCTGCCCGGCAAGGTTGTCATGGCGAATCTCTTCTGGGAACTTCACACAGAAGTCTCTGTTGGCTCGCTCTTCAGGTATGCATTCATCCATGATCTGATTTATGATGTTTAAAACATTGTCCTATAAATACAATGAGAAGATACACAACAGAGTTAAGAGTATTTACTTAAGGGGTTTCAATGTGTATGAAAACACAACTATCATTTTTCCAAGATAATCCCAGTCATGGGTAATTAATTACTCAATAAGAATTATCCTGAAACTATCTTAGAGACTGCCTTTACAAGATGAGAACAACTAGAATTATAGGTTTTTAATACATAAATTAACATTGTTTTCAAAAAAGACAATTTCATGATTTCTCTCTGGACTGGAATTTTTCGTATATTTCATTTTAAAACCTCTGGTGGTAATCATTATAGGGTGATCAGAGGTTTTCTTGGGACAGTCTAGTGTATTTCAACTTGTGATGAAACAATCATTGCTGAGCACATGCTATAAAATGCCTAAATCAATGTCAGCCATTTATACGATGTGTTAAATATGAAGTGTCATTCTATGTGTCTTTCTGTAGGCCATTAATGCATTGATCCAGCAGTGTGGCATTAGCTGCCTTTCCACTGCCAGGCCAAAAGCGAGCATACTTCCACAGTTGCTTCTGGGCTTGATCGGGCCTCATCGAGCCTTCCTGGGAGCCAACAGCCAGGGATTTTTGGCTTGAGGGGTTTTCATACCAGGCTTCCAGCTAACATCAATAACTAAAACATTTTATACATTTAAATAAAGTTCAGTTCACAGCACACTTTCAGACAGCAGTGAGTTCATTGTATTTAATCATTTCTACCATTGAAGACAACAGTAGTCGACAGCTAATGTGGATCAAAAAAAGGAGGTCCAAATTTGTCCACAAGACATGATATTCATTTATGCTTGTTTTATGCAGATGCACTGCAAAGAAATGTAAAGTTATTATAAATTCTAGGGCGACACAATGTCTCAGTGGTTGCCTCAAAGCAAGAAGATTGCTGGTTTGAGTCCCAGCTGGGACTGAATTTGCATGTTCTTCCCGTGTTTGAGTGAGTTTCCTATGGGTGCTCTGGCTTCCCCCACAGTCTAAAGACATGCGCTATAGGTGGATTAAATAAACTAAATTGGCTGTACTGTAGGAGTGTAAATGAGTGTATGTTGATGTTCCCCAGTACTGGCTTGCAGCTGGAAATGTAAAATATATGCTGGACAAGTAGGCAGTTAATTCCACTGTGACGACCCCTGATAATTAACTAAGCCGAAGGAAAATTAATTATGAATTCTTCCCAAATAGAATTATTTAAATAGTCTTGATATGATATCCAAATATTAGAAAAAACAAATATCGCAATGTCAGTTTTGTCCCAATGTTGCAGCTCTATTTGAAAGATGTATTTGAAACTAGAGATCTGTGTGAGACGAATTCTTTAGTCTCATTCCTTCAAGGTTTTATTCTGCACCCGCACGCTGCTGCCATATATTCAGCCCTTGTTCTCCCGCTGCCTAACACATCCTGTTTTCTACCCGACCCAACTGCTCCCACTAAGTTTAGATCTGGTTACCAAAATCTCACGTTTAAATCGCGTACTATCAAAAGAGAGAGATAAACGATAAAACTATAGGTTGTGCAAGGATTGTAGGCTAAATGTCAGTTTTCTTTGCCTCTTTGTGATGAGACATGAGTGAACCTGAGGTTTCAGTCTTGTGACTGCTAAAGGGTAAAACTTTGAGGTATGATCACATTGAGTAAAGGGTATTTTATTTTCTTATTTTATTTTCTATTTGCATCTATGACGCATGAAAAAGACTACCATACATCAGACGTGCCTGATTCGGATTTCCTAACAGTAAACTGACCACTTTCCAATGCAAGTTGAACGTCCTTCAAGGGCAGCACATCTTCACTTTGATTCAGTGAAGCCCGCTTTGAGGAACGTTATGCGCACAGACTGTGCAAAACAAAGCACATGCAAAAAGCACTGGACCATGCGTTCATCATGAGTAACAGTTATGAGTACTGAATGTACCGGTGCTCAATAAGAATGAGTAAATCACAGATATGCTGTTCTGAAATAACATCGGGACTCGGGAGGGCTATATTGTTAGACCGCCCACTCCCGTTCAAATTACACCAGAGTTACCGACCGATACAGTGTTTTGTTCTGAAATGTGTTCTCGCGCTGCAAGATATCTGGTTGGGTTTCGCAGCTCCTACGGTACAGCCGCAGAAATGCAGACCTCTGTTTGAAACGGCATGAAAAGTGAAGGAAAACACACTAGCTAATATTGCCAAAACCAGACTAAGCTCTTTACTGTAAAATGGGTAACTGGAGAGAATGGATTGACCTGGCAGGAGCGGAACTGGTTGACTAGCAGGGTACACCTCTGAGGGTCCTTCCTCCCGTCCAGACTGTCCAGCTCAGTGGCCACCTGGTTCAGCTCTTCATCTGCATAGTAGAACTGGGCCAGCAGCTGCGGATCTGACCTCTGCATGGAAAAGCAGAATGTAAAAAAAGAGAGAAAATGTAAACAGATGGTCTGAATGATGTAATCAAGCACCAGACCATCAAAAAATCTAGTGCTCAAGTAATCAAGCAGCAAGCGCTATTTGTTGTGTGTGAAAACAGCCTACTTTATAAAGGTGCGTCTTTCAGTAACAGCCATTCACACACATGGAAATCTGCTAAATTCTAGAAGTCAGCACTGGTTTAAATAGCGTTGATGAGGATTTTAGACCTTTGGACCCCTTCTGCTCTACTGGGCACTCAATGGGGAACAGCCATTGCACCTTATTGTGAACACTGAAAACATTACAAGTTTTGTTTCAAAACTATTAAGGGCTAACAAAGAAATTTAACTGGAAAAAAAATTGGACTAAATGTACTGTTTTATTTTATTTTTAAATTTTGGAGTCACATATGATGCTTTTTTAAATAGACTTAAATTTGTATATATTTTTATACTATAGCAAATCACAAGAAAAAATAGGGGAAATAAAATACAAAACAAATCCTATGGAAGTCAATGGTTACAGGTTTTCAGCATTTTTCAAGGTGTCTTCTTTGTGATAAAAAAAAATAAAGAATCGTATAAAGGTTTGTGACAAGTTGTGGATGAGTAAATAATGACAGAATTTTCAGTTTTGAGTGAACTGTGAACCATCATCATCATCATCATCATTCAGGCCCTTAGCCAGCCTGGTGAAAAGGGTGGTTCTTTTTTTTTAAAAGAGGCACAAAGTCTTTGCTGGATCAGCAGGTTGGATGGTCATGATAAACATACTTTTTGATGTGACAAAAACATTTCCTTAATATTTAGAATGAAGAAAAATGAGAACAATACTTATAAATTTACTTCATCATACAGTATATAATTAGAAAAATAATAGTTTTAAGTTAAAAACTAGCATACAGTCATTTAAATATCATTAATTTAATTAACAAACTGGCCAGCACATTCAATTATCTTCAGTCACACAGTCTATTTCAATGTTTTGAATAGCGTTTGTAAAAATAAACTAGTTAAATTAAGCTCCAGCATGATTTAGACATATTTATGTAAAAATAAAGCAACTAATCTTGATCAGAACTTATTAAAGTTAATTTATTACATTTTTAATGATTAAAAACTTTCTGACTAATCTACACAACCTATTATATTTTAGCAAATAATAATTAAAATGCAATTATTGTTAATATAATATAGTTCTATATGTAATATAGAACTTCTGAATTTAAAAAACGGCAATTTAATCAATGTTTATGAAAGTATCGTATATGGTTCTTGTACCGATAACGTGTTAATAATTCTCCAACTGAGATTCCTGTCTTGTAATATGACATCAGATTTTAACAATCAATGCGATTTTTTGTCTGTAAATTATAGTAAAACTGCGTTACTGGTGGTAACGTTGGCCTTAAAACAAATTACTAAAAGAATATTATAAACCAAAAAACTACATTTAAAGCTGTTTTACACAGTTTCTTAATGAATTAACATGAATTAACGTTGAAAGCTATAGGTGAATTAAATAACTAAATTGACCTTAGTGTATGTGTATAAATGAGTGTGTATGGATGTTTCCCAGTACTGGGTTGCAGCTGGAAGGGCATCCGCTGTGTAAAACAAACTAGATAGTTTGGTGTTATCTGTCATATTTGTGCTACAGTATTTGGACTGCCTCCAGATTGTGAAGTCTCTGTTTTCCTGAACTGTGACTGTTTGTAATCTGCAAGGGAATCTGGCTGGAAGTGGCACGTGGCTGCGACATAGAGCACAGCTGAGACTAAGCTGATTTCAACAGGTCAGTCCTGTGAAGCCCATGCATGAGTTATCAAACCAACCAAACACAGCCATTACAGGGATAGTTCACCCCCCAACCATTATGATTTGTTTATTCTGTTGAAGAAGATATTTTGTAGAAAGCTGAAAATCTGTAGCCATTTACTTCCATAGTAGTGAAAATAAATTCTATGTTAGTCAATGGTTACAGGTTTTAACATTTTTCAAAATATCTTCTTTTGTGTTTAATAAAGAAAGAAACTCAAAGATTTGAAACAAGGGTGAGTAAATGATGACAATTTTTATTTTTGGGTGAACTATGTGTGGAATTAAATATGTCTGTGTAGCATATTGCGAACTAAAACCTGCAAAAGGCCTATACAATAGTATTTTATTGCAACATCAGCTTCACTGGAATACACATTTGACAATTTAACATTCATGAAATAGCATGATAATATATTAAACAAATTTTGGGTAGGGCTTCCCAATCTATCGCATTGACCAAAATATTGCAAATGTGTAAATGGTTTGCAATAAATGAGAAATTTAATGCAAAGGTACCTATGTGTGCCTGCCTCTAGCACACCATGTGAATGACTTTAAGCAATGTTTTAGGTTTTTGTTTACCTGATAGTTCTTGATGTTTTAAAAGTTGATTGTCTTATTTGTTTTGTTTAACATTAAAAAATAGCAGTAAAAAAAAAAATTTATAATTAATATATGTAAATGTAAATAATATATATATGTATATATATTTATTTATTTATTTTTAATAATAATAATAATAATAATAATAATAATAATAATAATATTAACAACAATTAAATCAGTGTTGGGGAAAGCTTTGAAAGTAATGCGTTACTATAGTGAGTTACTACACACAAAGGTAACTAGTTGTGTCAATTACTTTTTATGTTTTGTGTTACTCTTGAGAAGAACCAGACGGAATTTGCAGACATTTTTTGATATTTCTGCACAGAATTTTGTAAAAAATCTGCGGATTTATGCGGAATGATTTTGGGAGTATCATAACTAATACATGAAATAAAAAATAATAACTTGTTAACTTCAATTTAATGTTTACAATACAAATACAATTTCATAAATATACTAAAAGACAGAAAATATTACTTTACAAACTGTATCGTGATTAAATCATAAAAACATATTTTCACATGAATCAATAATTATACTGAAATTAATTAAAAAAACTCAATAAATATAGATTTATACGCATTTACGCTAGTAAATAAACAGAATCAATGATCGGCTAAAAATCTGCAGAATTCTGCACGTGCAGATTCTGTGTGGGCCTACTCTTGAGTTATTATTTATAGTCTGGCTGAGGCTTGAACTCTTTCAGAACTAGAAGGGTTTATTCTTTTCTTTTTTTTGTAATAGAGGAGCTCTGCAATCAACAACACACTGTAAAACCTTTATTTACATTTAAACCATGAAAAAAAACCTAATAATTTAGCATGTTATCTTCTGAGAACATCCTGACCCAGAGCTCTACATGCCGTATATGCAAATTAATGGCAGTTTAAAGCAATGTGTTTGAGGCTTTTGTACTTTTAGTCTTATTGGTGAAATAAAATCCATTGTCCATTGAGACTAGGCATAGGCCGGTAGGTATATGATTCTGGTGGTATGATAACCTTGGATAAAAAATATTACTGTTTCACGGTATTGCAATTACTGCTCTAAAACATATTATTTTTAAATGTAAAAAACAAAACCTTTTTCCCCTTTGGAAACAATATATTTTATTTTGAGTAACATTTAAAATATTTTGAAGTAAACATATCAGGTGAAATAATAATTGACTTCTGCTGTCTTCATTAGTTTTAAAAACACAGATTTCTTTACAAATTAAAAGGTTTGTCCTAAAAAAAAAACTTTTAAGAAACATTAAAAAAAATATATATATCTTGGTGGTTTTAAATCCTTGACTTTCCCAAACTGCGGTATACCTTGAAAATGGTTATTGTCTCATGTCTAATTGAGACTACAATCCCCTTTTACTTTTACTCATGTAAAACTCATGGACCTCCGCTGACTGCGTACGCACCTCACGAAACGGACAAGTTTTTTTTTTACTTGAAGCATTCACCGTTGAGATATCCTTAAAAATGACAGGGGGCGGTCAAAAGAAACAAACCATAAAATCAGACAGATAAACAGGGAAGTAGGACGTTTCCGGAACTACGTCATATCATTAAAATAGTTCAAGATTTTTAAACTAATTATTTTGATAATTTATTTTAATGATTATAAAAAAGATTTATAACCATTCACTTTGATGCATCACTTGTTTTTGTTCATATTTTAGACAGCTCTACCTATTAAAGTTTATTAACATATCAATAACAACAGAACATGGTTTCCTCTACAAATATACATTTTTTTATTATGGTAAGAACAAAAGTAAAAAAAGTACAGTTCACTTACTAAAAAATACTGATGTTTTTATTTTATTTTTTATTTAGCCCACTCCACAATTCACACACTATGTGGCAAGTTTCAGTCCTCTACTTATACGCTAAAAAGGCAATAATGTCCAACATTTGTGACAATTATAATCACCAATAAAGGCCAGAAAAACTGGACATCCACATTTTGTAAACGGATAGGTTCAATTATTCTTTTCCAGTAATCAAAGAAATAATCTGACCCTTAATTATAGTTTTGTAACTATTAAACTGTTTTAAATTCAAAATTAATGGTGAAAAAAAAACATATTTCTGTAATTGTGTATTAAAACCGCATGGGTCTAAACGTTCCCATGGCCATCTTTTTGGTTTTAACAAACTTATCCTTCAGGTTTTTCAAATCTTTTACAAAAACTTTCTTCCTTTTCCACGGCCGTTGCAATTCCTAGCCAAGAAATATTGGTCATCTGGTTCTTCCTATGATCACGCATGAAAGGATCATAAAGATGTCTGTACAGGTATACCCGTTTTAAACAAAATGTCTTCAAAGTGATTCATATTCAACTCAAATAAAACACGGTGCTGTGCAAACTGTTTGCTCGAGTCTCAAAAAATATTGTGCACTTCAGCAGCCGAAATCATGTCACGCGCACGCAAAGCGAACCTCCATAAACTCCCTGATGACGTGCGCACTCAAGCAAATGTGTTTTTTTTTTATTGTATTAGTATTTTTTTGTTTCGCTCTTTATCCTGTATATTTAATGTGAATATTGTGTAAAAGAACTGTCCTCTTTTACTGCATCCTAAGTTGTATTATACAGTTTCTTGAAATTAATACAAAATTAATTCAAAAATTATTTTTAAAAAATAGCGAACGGGTCTTAATCTGGCTTAAGGCTCTACCATCTTAGTTTCTGTCTGTTTCTGCAGGGAGAAAATTCTCTCATTGAGTGCGGGATTCAACATTACTTTTAATTCAGCTATTTATTTTTAAAAAGCGAATTAACTTAAGTAAAAAGTACCTCGCTAAGTAAATAAAAAGTAACTCACATTACATTTAAAAAATAAATAAATAAATAAATATTACTGCTTAATTTTTTTTAAGTAGTGCATTATTTTACTCGTTACTTTTAAAAGTAATAATATTACAAAACTTGCATTACTTATAATGCCCTACCCAGAACACTGTTTATCAAACATTGAATTTCCTTCAATATCACACAGAACTAAAATCGAGCTGTTCAAAAAGCTTGTAAAAGAAAAGAAATCAATATTGTTTTGCTTTGTGCAGCTGTTTGGGTTGAGCTTTACAACACATCAAAGTGATGATGATGATGTCCAACTACAGCTTTATGGTTATAGTACTGTTCTAAAATTACAACAACATTGATGGAAAGGATGTGTCAAATATTGCAGTGACATACTTTCTTGTCTATTTTAACACACAATTTATGTACATATATAAAATACATAAGTAAACTATAATAAAATAACTACATAAATAAAGAACAAAACAGAACAAACAACATATTTTTCTAAGCGAATGTACATTCTTTTTAAAATTTACCTATTTCACTGATTCCATAGGTTAACATTCTTTAAATTTTATATAATATAATATTATATAATACAACATAATATAATATATTAAATTATAATAAATTATAATATATTATAATATAATATAATATAATATAATATAATATAATATAATATAATATAATATAATATAATATAATATAATATAATATAATTCCATAGTTTATTCCTGACAACAACAAGCGTGCTGTTTGTGAAGAATTTCTCCAAGTGAGCCACAATGATGGAGGCAGTATTGCACCCATGGGTCAAGGCTTCTTTGACAACAATGAGTGTTTGTACGGATCAAGAGGTGCCTTGGGTTTAACTCCAACAAAACACTCACATCCTGTTGTACGATTATTATTAATATTTGAAGAAACGGGCTTGATGTCTAATAGAATGCCTTTTATGTAATAAACATCGGCTGACAGCAAAACACGTCTGCATCAAGTGCCGAGATGTGGATTGCAAGAATCTTTCATCACCAAAGCCATTGTTTGCTGTGGTGAAATGTGGTTTTTGATGTGTAAAACAGAAGTTGCTGATGACACACAAAGAACTTTTAAAACTCAGCAAACCCAATGTAGAAAACAGAAATAGTTCTCTTCTCATTTAAATGCATTACCATAGGTTTTTATTTCAGGTTGTTAATACACTGTAATATATTACGTGATTAATAATTCATGACAGCAAATGTTATTATGTTAATGAATGACAAAATAAAGTAAACAAAATAAGTTGAAGCTGAAAACTAATTAATCTCTAAAATTGTAAATAAAAACTTCTCTTCTCATTGTAAATAAAAACAAGTTGAAATAAACTAAACATTTTCAAACAAACAAATTAAAACGAAGCTTAAAAAATACAATGACACTTAAATTAAAATTAAACAAATTAAAATGACACTAAATAAACTCAAATATTAAAGAAAATTGAAAATATATATTTTAAAAAGTTAACTAAAAACATCATAACTTTAATAGGACATATATTACTACTAAAATAAAAGTCTATGATAATAATAAGTTGACAAAGACTGCTATGGTTATTAATATTTGCTAAAATTATTTTAAACATTGTTAACTGAAATAAGGCTAAAAACGGTCATATCTGACAACTAAACAAAAAATAATAATGTTTCGGCAGCTCACACAAGCTTAAAATGACGTTAAAAAGCAAACTGGAAAACTAAAAATTAAATAAGTGGCAATAGTATTTTAAAGCAAAAACTAATAAACCATCAAAGAAGCACATACAAGTGCTAAAGAAAAATAAAAAAATATAAACTTGCCAGACAAATTATAGTATATAAATAATATAAAATAAAAATATAAAACAAATTACTACAGTACTACAAATTACTACACGTTTTAACAAATACTACAATACTTCAATTACATATATATATATATATAAACAAATGTTAACAAATAATTTGATTAAAAATAGCTGACAGAATGCCACACAGCTGTGAATATGCCAATTCAATATGAAGGGACAAATTCATCTGACAGACCAGTAAAGGGCTTTGATTTAAAGAGCAGTGGAGATCCTACTCACATACACAGGCACATGTTGGCATTTGATGCCAAGGTTGGTCACAATGTAAGATGCCCAAAATCTGTCTAGGTAGACAGCTCACATCATGTGTTGCCAAAATAACAGCTCATGTACACATTTTGCATAATACGACGCCCCAAAATGCTGTCAATGTAGGCTGCCTACATCATATGATGTCCCAAGTAGACAGCTCGATAGGTTTTGAAACACAGCCACTTCATAATAAAAAGATATCTCAATCAGTATTTATTAACTGAACTGATGGCAAGCTTACCTTTGGCTTATAAAGCCACTTTCGGAAGCGATTCATCATCGGTCACCTCGCCAGTTTAGCGGCAGCTCCGTACCAAACCCGAACAGGACCTTTAAACCCGCACACAAACACACAGCACAGCTAGCGAGCTAAGCTAGCGGCCGTTCTTCAACAAATCCGCGCTGACACCGTTAAGTAGAGGCCAAAAAACAGACACAAGCAATGTTAATCCACTATTAATTAATCGCAGGCTCGGACTCTGCCCTTATATCCAGCAGTCGAGTGGTTGTCTTTGTCCCCAAACACACGAGCAGCTCATGACTAAGCTATTGAGCTACTGTAGCCAGCGCTCGGTCTTACCGCGGAAGTTGCGCTGCTTGACTGATTACACCGGGGTTGCCAAGCACTCCGTGCTTTCCATTTCTAAATGTGGTAAATAATCACCATATGTTTACAGTTCTAGAAAAAAAACATACTTAAGCACGAAGTGTAAAATGATAAAGTAAACATTAAGGGAAATGTTAATTTGTGTATTATTTTAAAAAAATACTGATGTGTAAACCAAATTGTAAGTATAAAAATATACTGTTTCTCAGTCTCAAAAAATGAACAAACATGACTAAAATATGCACCTTTTTTGTTTGTGCATGCCAAAAAAGCTCAAATATTAGTTTATGTGTGTGTGTGTGTGTGTGTGTGTGTGTGTGTGTGTGTGTGTGTGTGTGTGTGTGTGTGTGTGTGTGTGTGTGTGTGTGTGTGTGTGTGTGTGTTTGTTTGTTTGTTTGTTTGTTATTCTGTAAACTAATGACCTTTCTTCCATATTTAATTTAAACATGTTGAATGTCATGAAAGAATTTTATGACACATGGAATGAACAAATATTAGCTTTTTAAGTTTAAGAGGTCTCCATAACTACACACACACAATAAATAAATTAATTAATAAATAAATTATTGTTGTTATTATTTAAAATTTATATATTTATTATCTACTTATTATTTACACATAATTGAACCTATTCTTTTTTAAAAACTTTTTTTTATATTAAGGAATTGTTTAGATTTTTTAAATATTAACTTCATGTTTTAGGGACAAAAGAGAACAAAGGGGACAGCACAGAGAATAGTAACAAGCGAGTGACGTTTCCTCTGAGGAAAAGTCACACCGCCCCGTTGTTGCCAGGCAACAGCAAAACATTGTAGCTGGCGGGTGAATATTTTTTCATCGCAGGACATTATCACACACATGAGCATATTTCTATGGTTCAGGACAGCATTTTAGGACATTTTTACTCTCAAAATGTTTCATTAAAATGCTTCGGCAATCCAAATGAGATGCGTTATAGGTGAAGATCTATCCATATTTGAGACTGCTGCCTATTGACCCAAAAGTATATTTAGTTTGGCTGAGAAATCCAGTGAGAATGAACTACAAAGAACTTGTCAACGAAGTCGCAAGGTTCCTGGACGAGTTTCAAGAAGACAAACAATGCATTGACAGTTTTACAGAGGATACTGCCAAGAATCTTCAGGTAGTTCTTTTGGACTCAAAGTAGGCCTATTTTCTTCCGTCTGTTTGCAGATAGAGTGTATACACTTATTAATGTATACATTTAACGTTAAATGCACGTATTTACCTTTGAGAAAATATAATGTATAATTTGTTTAAAATAATGATTCATCAGTGTTGGATGCAATAGATACAAAGTAACAAGTTACTGTAATTAGATAATTATTTCACAGAAAAAGGCAAAGTAAGGGATTACTTTTCATTTTCAGGTAATTTAATTACAGTTACTTATAATGTCCTTGGTACATATTGTTCTTAAATTAAGCAGTTCTGGATTAATCAATTAAAAGAAGCAGAATATTAATTTATCAAGTAAATTGAACATGCTTGATAAACAGAAAGTCAGAAATGCAGGTCTCTATATGGTACTGTATGTATGAAATATTGTGTCATCGCTTTGAAATGAATTGTGTTTTAATACATATAATGTCCAGAATTCTTAAATTGTTACATTTTTAATAAAGGTTAAAGGTCTATCTTGAAAAAGATTTAAAGAATTAAGATTTAATTTCTATTGTCTATGCAGCAATGAGTTTAATATGTAGCGTATTTATGCATTATGTATTTTAAGTTGTGTTGAGTGAATTAATTTAATTATTGAGTAACTGAGTTACTTTTCAGACACAGTAATTAAAAATGTAACTTAAATACAATTTTAATGATGTAATTAGTAATTAATTACTTTTTTGAAGCAACTTACCTAACACTGATTGTCATACATTGCATCATACAATATTATGTTAAAATGAAAAAAACATTATTCTGACATTAAAATGTCAAATAAGTGATCCTTTAAACTTCAATAGATTAAACCTCCATAAAACATTCTTTTAATATGTTATCAAACCCTGACACTGAATAATATACACTTTTTAACCATATTTTTTAACCACAAGGTTAACCATGATTTTGTACCTATATAACATGGAAGTGAAAACATGGTAACACCACTTAATCAGTTTATGAAAAATATAAACATGGTTACTACCGTTTTACTACACTGAGACTATTTCATAATGGTATTATTAAAATCACATTCATCATCATCATCTTATATCATCTCTCTTTTAGACTCGTTCCTCTGCTGACCAGAAGTTTATTATCAATACTCTGTATGGATGTATCATGCACAAGAAGCTTTTGAATGTTGTAGTCAACATCTTTTACCTTCATCATGGAAAAAATATCTTCAGGGTGGACCGGAATCTGTTTACTGGTACAATTATTCCAATTTATGTGATATAAATATTTTTTTCATCCTAAGCATTCTGTCAGTAGCATTACTATATCCCACTTGTTGTTGGTTTTTTTTTTGTGACACTAATTTAAAATGTCACCTAAAAAAGCATCTTTTATTATTTTTATTTTTTAGTTGTCTGTTATCTTGCCATGTTCTGTCTTGATGATCTTGGCCTGGAGCATTTCAGCAGAATTATCAAGTCTTTAGACAACGCAAAAATGCACAAAGTAAGCAAAACATAAGGACTAAACATTGAAATCCATAATTTGTGCTATTATTTAGAACCTGTTTATCATTATAAACCATGAAATGTGTAGGAACCAAGATTATTACTTTCTAATTTAAAAAATGTAGGTTGATTTTTTTTTTCTCCATGTAAAAATATGAGCAAATAATAATTACAGTGCAGTAAAAGTAGTAAAAATGTTCATGAATTTTAACTATTTCCTCATCCTTTGCTTTCAATCTTTCTTTATTTGATAAATGTCAGTTCCTGAGTTTTTTCTTTAACGTCAACAACCTCACAACACATATCCAGAAGGAATGGAGTCACATCTATGATGCTGCAATCGTGGATGAAAACTGGATCACCCCATTGCTAAGGTACACATTAAAACATGCTGGGTTCCACACAAATCCTTTGAGTTGTCCCAACACAAATCAATTAAGTAAATTTAATAGATTTTTCAAATTTAAGTAGATTGCACATAAAACAATTAGGTTTTGCCAAAAAAACCTTACAAATTGTGTTGTTTCAATTTATTTTAAATAAATACTATAAACAAGCGGCAAAAGTAGTTTTTTGAGTGTATAATAAGTGTGTATTAGTGCTGTATAGTATTTTACTTGATACACTGTAAAAAACACGTTTTGAATTGACTCAACCTAAATCAAGTCAAGTACTTGGCTTAAAAGTGGAGTCAACTCTAATAAGTTGTGGAGCAAGTTGCCTTTCAATTTTAAGTTGATTCAACCAGGGTTTCTGCAGGTTCCATCAGGCCAGATTTAAAACCTTTTAAAACCCTTTTTAGACCATCATGAATAATATATATAATATTTTAGACTATTATGAAGCCAATTTGATTGAGTATAACTTCTATTCAACCTAATACATTTCAGTTATAAAACCTTAAGTTTCATGCCTATATTATGTCTACTCCCCATTTTTTGTATAAATGAAAGGTTACATAAAGGGATACTGTATATTCCTCTGTTACTAACATGAGGAACTGTGCAATTTTAGTATTCTTTCCCTTATTAAGAAATTTAATTAGAAGAAATTGCTGTAAAACATGTCTAACATCTATTGTAAATTGTATCTCTTTGCAATAAAAAAACGAAACTTAAATATAAAAAAATATGGATTGTTGGTGATTGAAAGAATGCCGTCCAGATCGGGTGCCTTTACTTGGACAGAGGAAAATTAAGAACTGTTTAAAATGATTCAAGAAAGGCCTAAAATTTTGTTTTTGAAATTTAAAACATTTACAAAATTTTAAGGCCCCACAGACACCCTGGTCAACTTGTGTACAGTGTACTCTATTACTGAATTATGCATTAGTATCTGTATGTCATTAATTAGGTAGATGTTTTAGAAATTGTTCAATTATTAATGAGAATTTGGATTCTGTGTTCAATCGCTGTAGGTAATGACAAAACACACAATTAATAGAAATAAAGACTGCTCTTCAACTGATATTTATTGATACAAATTATCAAGCAGATGTCATCCTTATTCTACTTATCAGTTGGTGCAGTGAGATGGAGATGCTGTTGGATCAGCTCACCATAAAAATGGGCATGGGGAGTGTGCCCAAAAGATCTCCCAGGAAAAACACTGAGCCTAAGGAATTTGATCTGACGAAGCCTAAAGCTCGACCGCTCCCTGCTCCTGAAGTCATTCCACAGCAGGACAAGCCCAAGCCGGCAAGTATTGAAATAAATTCTTGAAATAACAGAGAAAGGATTTTATGAGTCAGTCGTTTTTTTTTCATTCAATCATTATTACATGACTGGTTATTTGGTAAAAGGCCAACATGACTTTTAATACACATTTTACCACTAACAAGTAGACACCCTGTTATTTTGAAGTAGTTTTTCTTTTTCCATTCTTTTTTTATCACAGGGGAATAAACGAAGCAACTCTATTAATCATTATAAAATGCAGTTTTTTGTAACCTATAATTTTATGTGAATTGTTATAAATAAAATGACTCAAACCACCCACCTTTTAGTTGAATCACAGCATTTGAATCTCAAACTTTGATTTCAAAGGGATAGTTCAGCCAAGATTTAACTATTTACTCACCCTTGAGTGGTTTCAAATCTTTATGAGTTTACTTTTTACTGTTAAATACAAAAAAAGATATTTTGAAGAATGTTAGAGACCGGTAACCACTGACTTTCATAGTAGGAAAAACAACTACTATTGAAATCAATGGTCACCGGTTTCTAAACTCTTTTTACTTCTTCTTGAAAATAATTTAATTTGTGCTAAATGACAAGAATTATCAGTTTTGAGTGAACTATCTTTTTAATTAAAGAAGTATATAAAATCAGACAAAAAGACAAAGGAATAATGGATTTAATGAGGTAAATTATTTCGAGTGTGAGACTATTTTGAATCGATTGTCATTTACTGTGCATAATGGTCCACGTCCACAGGAGATAAGATTCCTGTTGACACAGTTCGATTGCTGTGACTGTGAAATGTGTTGATGTAATTTTTCTGCACAAAATCTGTTATTAGATACCATTATAATAATAATATGTTAAAATAATACAAGCAGAGTTAAAAAGTCTTTAGAGGTTAATGAGTTGTTCGCTATATACTTTGTAAAAAAACAAAACAAGAAAAGTTGCCGTTTTACATTTTTAAAGCCAAAATATGAAATTTCTGTCACCATTTACTCATCTTCCGTTTGATCTAAACCTGTTTGAGTTTCTTTGTTATGTTGAACACAAAGGAAGATATACTGAAGAAACTACCATAGTATTTTTTTGTTCCCACATGTGGATGTCAATGGCTGCATTTTTCCAACATTCTTCAGAATATCTTGCTTTGCGTTTAAAAGAAGAAATAAGTTCATAAAAGATTTGAACCACTTGAGTGTGAAAAAATTATGAGGAAATATATTTTTTTTGGGAGAAGTCTCAGTTTAAATTAAATCAAATACATTTTGCAAGCCATTTCTACATACATTACATTGAACTAATGTTTCCCAACCCTGTTCCTGGAGGCACGCCAACAGTACAGATTTTGCATGTCTTCTTTATCTGACCCATTAACTTCAGGTTTTGGAGTCTCTTATTATGTTCTAATGAGTTGATTCATGTATGTTTGATTGGAAAGAGATTGAAAATGTGTACTGTTGGTCTTCAGGAACAGGGCTGGGAAAAACTGCATCAAATGACATAATGATCATATTTATGATCACAGTGATTCTTAAACAGAATATTTTCTGCAATAAAAAAACTGTACATTATGGCGTACAGACTTCACTTTAGATAATAAAATGATGCTGGTTATTACAATTGTTTGTTTCCTCAGGTACCAGCAAGCACTCATAGATCTCCAAAGGAACCAGAGATTCTGGACGATTTGAGGCAGATGAACCGACTGAAAGCTTTTGTGAGCCCCGAACAATGTCGTTTATCAATACTCAATTGGTTTTCAAACATTGTGTAACTCATTTTCTCTAATAGCAAACTCTGAATGAAGCAAACTCCCAGCAGTTCAGATGTGCAAACCCGCAAAAGTCTGAGAAAACTCAAGTTAGTGTCTTTCACAGCACAACTGAATGTTTTTTTACACCACAAAAGTGAAAAATGATTAATGCCTGTTTTCTGATGAACAGAACATAATATCAGAGATTATTAAAAAGCGTGAAGCTGAACTCAAATTTGACAAGACTTATACTTCTGGGAGCCCTGCAACTCAAAAGGTGATTCTGATAAGAATGACACGTACAGTAAGTGCATTTGAACCTGTGTGGCTTTGTGCAGTAGTGATTGAATCTGTTTTTTACAATTACACAGACAAACAGCTTGCCTGTCAGACTGAACACAACTGCCATTCTGCGCGAGGGAGCTTTATATAATAGACAACTGGAAGGAGAGTTACAAAGGTAGAGTCACATAACTCCTCAATGGTAATTATAAGATTATGGTTTGTTCTCTAAACAATTATTCCAATTAATTTGAAAGTATTTGGACTGAATATCTGAAGTGATTCATAATTTATTCTAAATCACTGAAAAGCAATAGTAAATTCATTAAATATGCAAATCCAAAAATGTCAATTCTGTCATCGTCTACTCATGCTTTTGTTTTTTAAACACAAAAGGAGAAGTTAATGCTGCTTATTTTTCTATACAGCAGGGAAAAAGTATAGAACATGTCATGTTTTTTCTTTGTGAATAATATTTCTAAAGGAATGGAATTGAACCAGATTTTTGTAAAAACGCAAACAATACAAACATAAAAAACATCTGAAAAATGAGTTGTGTGCAATAACTATGAAATGACACAAGAAGAAAGTACTGAACTATTGAAACGTTTTTAATACTTTATATAATAGGCTATATTGGCTGTGTTTTAGATAATTGTCCTGCTGAAATGTCCACCCTGGTTTCAGCTTCATCATCCTGCTAATTCAAATGTTGGACTGAAACAGCTGATATTCATTTACACTGAAGAAGGGCAGAGGGTTGCTGAGAGATATCAGCTGCTTTCTGGGCTTTCACTGAGTTTCTACACCTCTCTTTCTTCATGTGTTCAATACTTTTTCCATGCATCATTTTATTTTATTACAAATCACTTATTTTGTAATCTAATTAGAATCGTTTGCACATTTGAAATTCTGTTTGTTACCAACATCCGGGGAAAATTTCAAGTCAATGGCACCTTTAAAAAAAACTTTTAAAAAGCTCTTGAAAGCAGGACTGTGGGTGCACGAGCATCGTTTTTGTCCAGTCTATTTAAGAGAACCGATAACACCAGTTAAGTCTCTAGGTACAGATGCTTTACGCAAGAAAAAACGTTTCTTTTTTGAACTTTTAAAAACTCTTGTGGATCACAGCACCTGAAATCAGCCGAGACACTGAATCCCATGTCAGTGCGTCAAGATCGCCTGTTTCACTGTGTGCATGATCATCTTCTTATTCGGTATTCACCTGCTTTCTTTTGCTCACGCGAACACAATTATTATTGTCCTAGTATTAAACCTTCATGAGGTTCGTTATTCTTTTGAACACTAAAAAAGATATTTTGATGAAAGATGAAAACCTGTAACCATTGACATTCATAGTTGGAAAAACAGATTTCCAATCTAAAAGTCTGCAAAAAAATTTTTAAAAGGGAAAGGTCCTAACACAGAGCCTTGCAGCACACCATGTTTCACCACTGTATGATCAGATATCTGAGGGACACGAAAGGATGTTCTGGTTGATGAATTGGTAAACATAAATACTGTGTAGCACATATAATCAGATCCATGCCAAGACTTCTGAAACTATCAGTAAAATACAATTTGACAGAAAACAGATACAGGGAAACACACCACACTAGTTAACATGAAACCTTATTCACTCTACGAGTGACTCGCAGCAGCAGAGCTACAAGCGAAGCGACCGTTCATTTCAACAAAAAGCAAGTGACTTCGAGCGATCTCCATCTAAGCGAGTGACAGTGACCATTGGCGGCAAGGTGGGCGTGTCAAGCGATGCGACAAAGTTGAGAATCCTTCAACTTTATGCAAATGAAGAGCAACTTTCTTAAGCGACAGCCAAGAGGTGGAGTAGGGTCTGTCTGCGGACTGCAAGGCATAACTTTAAGTTGGACACCCACATGTCAAAACTATGTTGTATGGTAAGATAGTGCTGTGCCTAAGTTATTACGTCTATACCTTCCCCAAACCTAAACCCAACCATCATAGTTATTATGTCTACACCTTCCCAACCCTAAACTCAACAGTCACAGTTATTAACATACAGCCTCAAGTTGCGGAGGCTTCCATTCTTGACAAACTTGCCATTGTACTGTTATTTGCAACCACAGGGGGCGGCGCCAAGTAAACTAACTGTCATGGCAAAACGAATGAAGAGGTCATTGAGTGGAGTTGCATGGTAAAGTCTAGATCACATCATCAATATAGCAGCATTTCTTATGACATTGTATAACAATAATTACTATTTTTACAGTACTGTGACAGTTGGGTTTAGGGTTGGGGTAGGCATTAAAAATAAAATTTATTGGGTAACTTAATAAATAACATACTGCATATAATACTCGGTACAACTAATGTTTTTACATTACTGTGACGGTTAGGTTTAGGGTTGGGGTGGGGGTAGACGTTAATAAAATACAATAAATAGGAAATTTCATAAATATATAAATAATTCTCATTAACATCTGGCCGCAACCAAGTCCGATCTAGCAACGACTGAGTTGCATGGTGGACTTGCTAAATGAATGAATTGGTAATATATCAATTGAACTGGTTTTGAATAAATTTAGAGAAAACCCATTAATCATTTGCTGAAAATGTTCTCTGGTAAGTATTTCCGCCATCTTGCCTATCTCTTCATGATTGCAGACGATTACTGCAAGTTATGCCTCTAACTTACTACAAGTTACGTCCCAATTCACACTTGAACAGGTTCACCAGTAGAGCTCACATGATCCCCTCTCAGCTCGCTCAGAGGCCGGTTGAATTTATGCTGCATAGACCTACACAGACCTGCGTTTGAAGCAGATCGCAACCCGAGCGACAGGCAGCTACAAAGTCGCTGCTAGTGTGAATGAGGTGTAGGTGTGGACAAATGTCATAGGTTCATGTGGACTACAATTATGTTTCATTTATAAAGTGGCTTGGAAAATCAGGAGACATTTTTGGCTGAACTAACCCTTACAATTGTTTTTCCACAACATTCCTACTTACTATGACTATGACTATTGACTTACTAACACCATTGTCATGTATGAGAAATCCATGAGCGTTCTTCTGACATGTAAGTATTTGTGTATTCAGATTAGAGCAACTATCACAGGGTGCAAGCGAACCATCTTCATTCCTGCAATGGCAGAAGGAGATGAAGGAGAAGGATCTGCAGGAGGAACTGGCAGAACTGGAGCGCCGAAGACTAGAAGGACGAATAAGCTACGAAGAGGCTGTTCTTGCTCGTGAGCGAGTTTTGAAGCATAACCGCTATAAAGCGCAGGAGACGAAAGAAGAGGTGATCTCATAACAAACATTCAGTGTTTACAGCAATACATGACTCAGTCTGTCTTGTGTTTATGATGGTGTAATGTGTGATTGCTTTAGACTGCAGAGCTCATGCGCAAGTATGCAGAGAAACGACTGAAGGAGGAGAAGGAAATGAGGGAGCTGGTGCAACAAGTGGCTGATGGTCACAAGAGCTCCAAAGCTGCCAAAGCTAGGCTCCAAGAAATCAAACAACGAATAGGTATAAAGATTTGGACTGATACTTGAAAACGTAAAGGCTTGCAATGTCAGCAAAACACAATGTATTTCTCCTGAACAGTTAAGGAGGTCTCAGAGCAGAGCAGGGAACTACTCAGCCAGGCTTTGGAGGAGGCACAGGCCGAACTGAGCAGGAAGATGGAGCTCATACGTCAGATTCGTGCTTTTGAGTTAGTCCCTATGGTCAGACAAAAGTTTATTGATGAAACTGAGGTTGGTGGTTTGCTTTCTTACATTAATCAAATATGTACTATTTATATAAAGAACCAGCTTTTGGTAACAATCTAAATATTAAATATTTACAAGTGCCCACCAACAGCATCAACATTATTATACATGCTGTATAGTAAATTAATAGTTTTTACTCTTTTAATAAAAATAGTGCTGGGCAAAGATTAATCACATCCAAAATAAAGGTTTTATATTACATAATAATACACTCAGCGGCCACTTTATTAGGTACACCTGTCTAACTGCTCATAATCGATCATCAGAATGGGGCAGAAAGGTGATTTAGGTGACTTTAAACATGGCATGGTTGTTGGTACCAGACGGGATCTACTTAGATTTTCACACACAACCATCTCTAGGGTTTATAGAGAATAGTCTGAAAAAGAAAACAAATCCAGTGAGTGACAGTTTTGTGGCCGCAAATGCCTTGTTGATGCCAGAGGTCAGAGGAGAATGGCCAGACTGGTTCGAGGTGACAACAGTAACTCAAAAAACCACTCGAGGTATGCAAAAGAGTATCTCTGAACACACAACACGTCCAACCTTGAGGCGGATGGGCTACAGCAGCAGAAGAACACACCGGGTGCATCTCCTGTCAGCTTAGAACAGGAAACTGAGGCTACAATTCGCACAGGCAACAGAAGATTGGACAACAGAAGATTGAAAAAATGCTGCCTGGTCTGATGAGTCTCGATTTCTGCTGCAAAATTCAGATGGTAGGGTCAGAATTTAGCATCAACAACATGAAAGCATGGATCTATCGTGCCTTGTATCAACAGTTCTGGCTATTGGTGGTGTAATGGTGTGGGGGATATTTTCTTTGCACACATTTAGCTCATTAGTACTAATTTAACATTGTGTTAATGCCACAGGCTACTTGAGTATTGTTGCTGACCATGTCCATACCTTTATGACCACAGTGTAGCACAGTGTCTTCCAGCAGGACAAGCCATGTCATAGAGTGCAAACCATCTCAGACTGGTTTCTTGAACATGACAATGAGTTTTTATATATTTGTGTATCACATATACATATTAAATATATATATATAACACACATATATTTTCAAAACAAACTTTTATTTTGTATGTGATTAATCTTTGTCCAGCACTAAATAAAGTGAATTGATTTTTAATGGGAAATGTATGATTTGATTGGCAATGTCACCAAAGCTGCATGGGTGTAATTGCTAATGAAGTTTTGTGTTCTGTAACTCAGACCGCGGGTCATGATTTGCTTTGTGAGATGTCTCTGGCGGAGCTACGGGAGCGTTTGGCTCTCCTGAGAGAGTCAGAGCAGTGTGATCTGGAGGACAGAAGACAGCGCATCTTCCAGGAGAAACAGTTTAAAGAGCAACTACTGCTGGAACAGTTGGACAACATCGCTCTACGAAGAAATCTGGCAGAGCAGGCTGCTTTGCGCAGGTACTGTAAAAACTTGGCCTATCATACCTGTGCCTGCTTCAGCTTACTGTAGGGCAGGGGTCACCAATCTCGGTCCTGGAGGGCCGGTGTCCCTGCAGGGTTTAGCTCCAACTTGCTTCAACACACCTGCCTGGATGTATCAAGTGTACCAAGTAAGAGCTTGTTTAGCTTGTTCAGGTGTGTTTGATTAGGGTTGGAGCTAAAATCTGCAGGACACCGGCCCTCCAGGAACAAGTTTGGTGATCCCTGCTGTAGGGTAACCCCCAACCTAACAGTCTAAAATATGACGAGAATAGCTTATAGAGTAAGTTCAGCCAAATATGAAAATTCTGTTGTTAGTTACGCAGGGAATTAAAACAATTTTGGTTTCAACAATTTTAATGAATAAGAATTGGTTCTAGATCACATTGATTTATAATCATGAAGAAATAAAGTTAGGACTTATCATAAGGCAAGGCAAGGCAAGTTTATTTATATAGCACATTTCATACACAGTGGCAATTCAAAGTGCTTTACATAAACAAGAATAAAAGAAACAAGTAAAATAAAAATAAAACCAAATAATAAAAATGAGTAAAAAAAAAACAGAAAAACAGGTAAAATGTGATATAAAAGAATGAAGAAGAAGAGAAAAACATATTAGTGCAATCTGTCGGACGCAGCACAGTGCTCATTCAGTAAAGGCACAGCTAAACAGATGTGTTTTCAGTCTTGATTTGAACATGCCTAATGTTGGAGCACATCTGATCATAGTACTCATCAGTACTAACAGATGTAAGGTGGTATGTTCCCAAATATAACTACTTCAGTGCTCCCTTTGACAATATAGACCACAATGTTCTTTAGGGCAAACTATAGAGTTCTGAGTTTGTCTGGTTTATGTAATCCCCTTAAATCACTCTGACTTTTTTGGGGAAGAGAAAAGACAGTGTTAAAGTGATAAACTATGGTGTGCCACAAGGCTCTGTATTGGACCCCTTTGCCCTTTATAAAGATCACAGGTTTGTTCTATGACATCAGCTTAACAAACTCAGGGTTACAGGACATTTTAAATTAGTAAGTCTAATTAGATATTGTTAGTGCCATGAAATGTACCAACTTTCTGTTAATCCCGAGAGTAGGCTCGAAAGAGCGTGATTTACTGCCAAATTTACTGTCGAAGTTTAACTCATTTACCCAACAACAGGGTTCATCCACATTCTTACTACAAACATTTCATGACTTTTCCAGGACTTGAGTCCATTTTCATGACCTAATGTTTCATATAATGTCTACGTAATCACAAGAAATCATAAAACAAACAATGAACTTCTACATTTTTACAGCATGTCATAATTCACGCAACAATCTTTTTAGTTTTAATTCATTTTTTAAATACATGTAAAACAGATAATGCTTACACAGCACTAATGATGTGAGACCATGTTTTTAATCTAACCTCCATTCCAGTATACAGATATTTCTCAAACTAATTTTAGATGATGTTAATAGTTTGTTAAACTAGTAAACTATGTAAAACTACTTCTATTGTAAAGCTGCAATCACACTGCGCTTTTTGCTCCAGACTTCCATTTGGCAGACCAGAAATGCAATTATGTGCGACAAGGTTCACATTTCACTGTATTTGAAAGTTCAAGCTTGGTCAATTCTTACCTGCAAAATCATATCAGGTTATTGTGTTAGACCAATAGACGATCATTTAAAATAAGAATTTTTTAAAATATGGAGCAATCGTTCACTTTTATGAACGTCTAATCACATTGTTTAACCTCACCCCTTTTCACAGCGCCATACGACAGAATTTCGCAAGCACAAGCTCTGGTGTGACCGCAGCTAAGTCGCTTTGGACACATATGTCTGCTAAATTACTCATGTAAATGTTATTTCCATGATTTTTCCAAAACCTTGTGGGTTTTTCTGTTTTTTCAAATCTTTTCCAGGCCTGGAAAATGCCATGTCAAAATTTTATGACCCTGCAACAAGATTGAAAGATAATGGCATTACAAAAACAAGCAATATCAGTATTTTTTTGCTCACTACTGATTGGTTAAATTTTGGTTTGCGATCTCAAAATCAAGAAAACCTGCTGTGGAGAGCAATAGTAACTATAAGCAATAAAACTTTTGTACTGCCTAGTTCCCCAAACCAACCAGTTTCACAGTTAAATGCCCAGGTTTTACATATGTAAACCAAATTCACGTCAGCATAAGTAGTGATATCATCAAAGCAAAACATGGACAAATTAACTGTCCTTATATTGCTATGCTGCTAATTTAACTTCTAATGAAATTGTTGGAATTAATGAGTTATTAGTTCTGTCAGACTCCAGTGTATGCATGAATGAGACATAAATGTTCTGAAGCATGGACTGATTAGCAGTAATTACGCCAAGTGAAAGGCTTTCTGTCTTGTTTCAGTCAACAAGAAAAAAAGATGAGAAGTGAACTGCGGGAGGCGGTCTTTAAAGATAAAAGAGTCCTAGCTCTACAGAAGACCTTGGAACAGAAACAGCAAGAAAGACAAAAGAGAAAGACTGAAAAAAACACTGTGAAGAAAAATGAACAGGTGCTTCCTCTGACGTTGAAGACCTCCCTTAACAAAAAGGTGGGAAGAGATCACAGTAAAACTCTGGTTAGACCACACAATTTTGGCATGATTTCCTTGACGAAGGGTGTCGTAGGGACTCATAAACGACAAATGGGCATTGTGACACAAGATTCGATGTGTAATGTGGCTTAGTTCACGACAACCAATACCATGCCTGTTACGCCTAAAGACACCATTGCAAATTTTGGATTTTAATTTTTTTTTTCTTGTTCTTCTGTTCTCTCATTCTTCCAACAGAGTTTACTCTTTCGAGGTAATCTAGGAACATGTTCAGTGCTGCGAATACATTGCGAAAGCCTTTCCTGCTTATTCAAATTTGTCAATAATAGTGAAAACAGTTTAACATAGGCTTCTCTGTAACTGAATATTTAACTTTATTTAACAAACCAACACAATCACCTCAAATGTTATTCGTTGTTCTTGTTTATAGATAACTGACCAACAAAACACATTAAAATAAGTTAAAAGTTATGGCAAACAAAATTAGTTTTAAAAATATTTTTTGTCAAGAAAAATATACTTTATATTTTTAATTATATTAAAAAATTATATTTTTGTTTGTGCCCCTCTACTACTCAACTTTACGAGTGGATGATTTGTTTCTCACTGACATTGATTTACAAATCTTATATATTTGCAAATTTTTTCAATATGTCATTGTTTTGTCTTGTGCACCTAATTTTCTCTTGCTGCTGCTGATGTGCTTTCATTTTCTCCGTCTCACTCGCAGCATGTTCAGGCAAGGGAGTGTTTAATAAGTAACCCTTACATTTAGGATTCAAAGAAAATATCTTAATATTAAAAAGAAATCATAAGTTTGATCCCATACATGTCGTAAAAATGCCCTTAAAGTATGCTATTATTAGTTGTCTGCAAGCATCAGTGTTTATTGAGATTGAAATAAGATTTTAAAATTTAAAATTGAGATTAGAAATACCGTTACAGCAACACTTGTGACTGATTTAGGAAATAACTCACGTCCTAGACATCACAAAATGACTGATCATGAAGTAAATTGTAGTTTGGGACATTTGTTACCCACAGCAAGTCAAGGTTTTTCAAGGGGGGGAAAAACAAAATAAAAACGCAGTCTGACAAAGTAATATTCGTAACCGACAATAAAAATTGTGTGATCTGCCTGGGGCTTAAAGAGGTTAGTGTATGCTGCCATGATAACACCTTAAATGTGAATTGTCTTTTTGTTCCATTAAATCTTATGAGCAGCAGGTTCTTGAAGAACACCACTGGCAGGAGTTGGAGCGCAATTTGGAACAACAGATTCATGGGGCCTTCCAGCAGTCGGTCTACAAATAACTGCTGGTCAAAACCACAGGCGAGTTTTTCTTGATAGTGATAGCCATGAAAAGTCAGCCAATGTATACTTAAATTAAAACAGAGTAGAGCATCTTTTGTATTAGATAAATCTTTATGGCTCGACATCAATGTATTACAGGGATAGTTCACACAAACATTTTAATTGTATTATCATTTACTTGACTTGTTCTAAATTGTTAGATTTTTTAAAATTCTGTTGAAGAACATTAGAAACCTATAATCATTAATATTCAAAGTAAGGAACATGGTGATTACTGGTTTCCAAAAGTACATTTGCTTTTCAACAGTTACTCAAAAGAGTTTGGGACAAGTAAAAGGTGAGTAAATTAAAACGGAATTAAAATTTTGGATGAACTATCCCTTAAACTGTAATTGAGCAAACAAAACACTAAACAAACACATTTGTAAATATATATTCTAAAATGTTTTTTTCATTATGTCAACATTGTTTTTGGTCTTAAAATTCAGCAGGTTGGCTGTATTATAAAGTCATACATGCACAAAAATAAAAAATGCAGAAGAATAAACTAGTTTAGTACAACTTTTTAATGTTGTTCCATTTCATTTTAGGAAAAGAACTGCAAATATCTTTCCAGGTTACATTAATGCCCAAAGAAAAAAAGACCCAGATTAATGTTTGATAAAGAGAGGATTACTCTAACAATAATAAAAAATAAAATGTAAAGATATTGCACCATAATGTGAATTAGACCATTAACATAATCAAGAATCCATAACATTGAGTGGAACTTATTGTGTGCACTACATTAACATTCAAAAGTGTACATAAAAGGAAACAAACAAAAATTACAATATTTCCCCTAACAAGACATTTCCATGTACACTGTACCCTACATGCAATGCTTCATAGTGCTTGGAAACTAATTTGAGACTCTGCAACAAACTAATACTTAGTGTCTAAAATTAAAACAAAACATTAGATGTTAGTAAATTATTTAAAAGTGTTTACCAGTATAAAATCATTATTCTATATGTAGATATTAAAAAAAACAAGTTTTCATACCACAGGTACATTTTTCCTATTACATTATGAAATAAAAAAAAGAAAAAATGAAATGCTGTTACAGATGGTGGGTCAAAATCTTAAAGTGCTTAGCTGTAGTGGTTACAGAATGAGTGGTTCATACAGATATCAGTATTAAAGACATGATACACAGCTTACAGTCAGAGCTGAAATTTAGTCCCCATCCAGTCTTAAAAGTAAACTTAGCAATTATCCAATTACAGGACTTAACTGAAATGCATTAAGATTCTACAAAAGAAAGCAGCAGTCTGATTTAAGTTGTTTGCTCAAGCTTAGAGCAAACTCTGCAATTTATTCCCATTCATTCCCAGCCTCCCGCTGACCCTTGATATAGATCAATACAAGGACAAGAGGGAGTTTCTCTCCTTATGAGTCCAAGGATGTTTTATCTTTCCATATCAGAGCATTAATCAAAGAAATGTCTCCCGCCTCATTAATTTACCAGGCTTTGGGGTTCATCTTCTCTCGGAATGACATCCTCAGTTTGTTTCTGGGAGCTGGCACAGGAGGCTGAGGGTCCACGATGTATTCTTTCTTTGTATATTCAGGTAGATCAGACTCCTCAGCCCTTTTTTCAGGCTGTTGACCAGTCTCGATCTGTCCAAGAGGTGCGTTTTTGCGTGTGGATGTGTGGCTCTTCTGCAATTGCTGAATGATGGCAGAGAATTTAGCATCCAGCGAGGGTCGCCTGGCCCTTGGTTTGGGCCCTTTACAGTTCTCTTTCTCCTGATTGGTTGAAACGCTGGTGAAGGGTAATTTATCAGGAGGGGGTGGCGGAGCTCTTCTCTTCTTTTTGCTGCCCGTATCAGGGCTCGTAATAGACCGATTGCTTTCTTTACCTGGTGACAGAACCGTTTTTTGTACCACTATTGGCCGGGAGCCTTCAAACAGGGCTGCCCAATGAGGAGGCTCCGTCTCTTCCTCCTGGCCAATTAGAAATCGGCCATTAGTTTCCTCAATCTTATTGTGAATTATGTCTGTCAAGCTCTCAAATTTCCCAGGGGACCCAATGCCTGAAAAGAATCAATTTGGTTTTAAACTGGAGATATAGAGAAACACCACAAGATTCGTCCAAATTCATTCAAAATAAAGCAGTACAAACCGGGCTATGCAATATTTATTGGCTATAACAATAATTACAATTATTGTAATTGTTTTAAAGTGAAAGTTTTACCCCATAATTTAAATTGCAATCTTATCCTCCACTTGTTCCAAACCAGTTTGAGTTATAAAGATATACTGAAGAATGCTAGAAATTGCTAGCCACTGAATTTTCATAACTTATTTTCTCTTAATGATGTCCATGGATAACAGTTTCCAACATTCGTCAAAATATCTTCTTTTGTCTTCAACAGAAACACTCAAAAGGTTTGGAACCACCCAAGAATGAGAAAATAGTGAATATACATTTTTATTTTGGTGTGTACAAGTCACTTTAATAACGTGTAAGCTAACGTTATGAACAACGTCACTCCGTTTACAAAATAAAAAATAAAAAACGAAATATTGTCCAAATGTTAACTGCCTGTGAATACAGCCTTTTTAAAAGAAGTTTAAATGTTAAATAACAAACAATGTCAGTAAAGTTACTAAAGTACTCAAAGTTACTTTGCACAATAAAGGTTTGAGTTAATGATTTAATTTTACATTTAAAAATCACTTCTTAATGAATCGTAATGAAAAGCAATCAGCTTTGAATTAATGGTTCAAGAACTCCCTCAGGGAATTGTTTGTCTTGATAACACAGGTGGCTTTTCGTTTTAAAAACAAAGTTGTTACAGTTATGCCTGGCGTCCAAACTACTTACTGAGTCTTAGTCCCACAAATATTTATTTGAAATTTATTTATTTGAAATTGCTGAAGAACCTATTCCAGATTGAAAACAGCACACTTGAGATGTTTTCAAACCATTTATGCACATTTTGGAATATCGTACAAAAAACCCTCCTAAATAGAAAGGCAAGATGTGCATACATTTTTAAACACAAAGAAATAAATAAACTTATGTGTACAACTAAGTAGGATAAACTTTTAATCCGATTACCAAAAGTGCATAAATGCATTTATCTAATAAATTCAAACATTTGCATTTAAACAATCATGTAATAACAAAAATAACAGTGGCCAAGATAGCTTAACAAGTTGCAATTTAAGAAAATCACCAGCAAATTAAGAAAAGATCTTCATCTGTTTCACACATGCTGCATTCTCTCACAACGCAAACAATTTACAAAAGCGCTGCAATTTCTCACAACACTTGCAAATAGCATAGAACAAAGAAAATGTTTTAAGGGGACCCTAAAACTAAAATAATCAAAATACAAAAAGGCGAGGGAATCAGGATGGTAAAAAAAAAAACCTTTCAAAGATCACCTTCTACTGAACGCTAGTCACTGCACAGCAGCGTCCATCACATTTTAGGGTCCCTTGAAACATTTCCGTTGTGTTCAAATGTTTTTGCAAGTGTTGTTAGAAAATGCAGGCATTTTCAGAACTTTTTGGCAGTGTAGGAAAATTCGTCGCATTTTATTAATTTGTTTTTGTTTTCTTAAATTGCAGAGCGTTAAGCTCTCTCTGCCACCATGAAAATAGGCACAGTGGGATGGCATTAATAGACAATTGAAACGACTTTTCACAATATCTGAAATTTTGTTTTGGTTTTTCTAAAAATCGGTCATCAAAAGGGTTTGGTTATTTATGATTAACCGTCTTGAGCATCTGCACTTTTAAAGAGTGTCTTACGGCTCCAAAAGCCACTGCGTGTTCATTGTCATTTGTCTTCTGAGCCACAAGATATATATCATTTAAGGAAAAAAATGGACAGTGACTTCTCCTACCAAAAAATTTAAAGGTCCCGTGAAGTGCTTTGAAATGTGCATTTTTATTCGATGTTTGACAATCTTAACCAAAATATGAAGAGAGGGAAAAAGTGTAGCCCCTCCCCTTTAATAAAAACTGGCAATAGTTTTTTGTGCTACAACTCTGCCAGTGAGAGTGAAGGAGCTCAAGCGCATCAAATGCGAATCATCATGAAGGGGATGGGGCATGTCAGATACTAGAGAGCTTTTGATTGGTCATGATTTGATAAGAAACTGCAGTTATGAGGTGAAATTATTAAAACTGTTTATCCATTTAGGTGGCAAGCTGCAAGCTTTACATGTTTATAATTTTTATATCTTCTAAACGCAAATTATATCATGGTTTTGTTGTGCACTAGCTTATATATATCCCAAAAATGTACATTAATGATATTAATTTTGAAAACATTTTAATTTCATGGGATCTTTAATGTTTCTTTTTGATATTTGGTGGCACTTTATTAGAAATTGATAAATTGGTTCTCATTGACTTATTAAATAAAAACTGCCTTATATGAATTCTTAAATTATTATTTATTATTATTACGGATTAAATGTCAGTTTTACGCATTAGTTTATTATTTCGCATCTTTGAATGGAAACTGCTACTGAAATGCACACTTTCAAAGACGGATCAGTCAACGCTGGACAAGGAGCTTTTCATTTGAAAATCCCCATTTAAAACTTAAACACACTAGTGTAAATGCAGCCTTGGTGTAATTTATTTATAACAGGCCTAACCCATAATAAATTAAATATGTTATATATTTATTAATAATAATAATAATAATAATATGTTTAATATTATATTAAATGTATATTATTTTTAATATTAATAATGCACACCCCTGAGTACAGGTCAATATTATTCTTACTGTATATTCTGAAATAGCATGTACATCATTGATTACTCACTCAGATCATTATAAACGGAGTCAGCTTGCTTCGTCAAAAAGAGTGGGGGTTTCCGTGGCGACAAAACATCGATTTCCATGAGCTTGTCACATGTATGTTGCCACTGACCTGAGGGGAAAATGGTAATTCTAATAGTTAACACGTATAATAAGTAAAAAAATTAATTTGATTTTGCATTGGTCAGCTGAACTCACTCTGGTCATAAATGTGCTGCCAGAGGGAATCCAGCCACTCCTGCAGGACATCTGGAGATTCAGCAATAAAAACATGGCTGGCAGAGTCTCCGTTCCCTGGATTTATCAAGTTGAGCCTAGAGCCAGTCCTTTGGTGGTCATTTTCTACCACACGAATACGGGTTTCCTGCATAAACAGACACATTTTGTATTGTACATTTTTATGATGGATCTTCTATTTCGTTATTTATTTATCATTGTGTTAAACCTGTATTTTAATTGCAACATTCAAGGTATGTTTTTCAGAGATAACCACTAAATAACTCAGGCTTATCTGGGTAGTTCAAATCATCTTCATCTAACGATTGTCTGTCATAAAATAGTCTTGACTGTTTGGCGCTATCTTGTGACTGAATAACATGGTTAGTGTATGCACTATGAAGCAGTTTTTGTCCCTATCAGCTATGCATTTAATAAAAAAATTTATAAACTATTATAGAGAATGATGCGTCTAATTTTTACATTGTGACAAACGGCATATAATAAACTGGATA